TAATCTTTTTCTTTTCTCACCCAACTGCTACAAATATGACAATCGTTTAAGAGTTTGTTTTTTAGGTTTGTAAATTTCTAGAAATTCTTCTACGGGAGGCCTCGTTCGTTTCAAGAGGTCTTGGAATAACAAACACGCAATTTCTAATTTAATCAACGATGAAACCGCGGAATGTAAGCAAATAGAATCTCCTTTTTTGTGCGGTTTTAGTCGCTCGCACTTTCACCCGAACATTTTGCTTTCCCTTAATCTCTTATCCATCCACGTGGCTGAAAATGCTATATACAGCTAGTTTCGTAAAAAACTGATACGGCTTGAAATTTCCACTTTACATTTTGTGCATACACACCATTAGGCTGTCATATCACATTTTGACAAATCAAAGTTTATTTTAACGTCCAATATTTGATCTAAAGGCAGATTTATGCAAACATTTTGATTAATAAAAATTAAGGCCCATATTTTTAGGGTTGAGTGTTTTTCCCTTGCGGATATCGAATGGTTAAATGTAGTTGTTTATTCCAAAGACGTAAGAACGCGTATTTATATTGAATTGCCAGGAAAACCGAGTAAGATGACGTTAAGAAAAAACGTATATATTATTGGTTATTTATTATATATTCTCACAAAACTTTCTCATAACAAAATCTTAGGAACTTCCTTATCAAAAATACACAGTATCGTTACATCCAGTAAGCTCAAAATATTTAAAAGGTATAGTTTAAAGAAAAATACAAATTCGTCATCTTACCCAACATGTCGGATAAATTGCCGAATGGATGAGGATTAAATGACGAATTAACAGAAGTCACAGACAAAGTAATTCATTCAATCAAAATTACTGCACTCCTCACTCCACCACAGCTGGCAGGAGGAGCATTGAATCCACTCCTCCGTTGATGGAGCTTGGTAGGTCTCTTCACATCCCGGACACAATATAACTTCACATTCACTCTTTCTTTGGTCATGTTTTTTCCGAGTTTTATTTTCGTTAAGTTCGTTAAGTTTCCTTTGGTTTTTCAGCTCTCTCTGTTTCTTTTTTTCATTTATTCTTTTTTCTTTGTCAATGGCAAGATTTTCTTTTTCTTGAAGCCCCGGTGTAGACGTTATAATTCTTGTGGTTTTATTTCTTCCACTGAAACCCTCTTTTTTTTTCGTTACACTGATCACTTATTGTAGATTTTTGACGGTCAACATTTTCTACTTTTTCTTTCAACATTTGCATTCCGCTTATCCAGGGTTGATCCATCAGATCCATTTCGTTGTTTCCCGAATTCCCATCATCAACAAATAAGGTTCTGCATCTGCTTTCGATCGGTTCATACAATTACCAGGATTCGGTGTTGGATTTTCATCCAGATTTTTTTGCTTTGATACAAACTTAATCAACGATTGATTGTCCTCAGCCTCACTGTCAGTATCGTTTAACATATTAACTTATGGATATTCTATTTGTCTATTCTCCCAGTTCAAATTTGGCATTTCTCTATCTGTGGTTAAAGCTGGTGCAAAATCCGAATCATGAAATATATTCCGATCAAATGGACAAATGCCACTACGTCTGAATCCATTGATGGCATTACCAATAGTTGCAGCCTTTTCGTATGAACGGCGAAATAAGTCAACAATATCTTTGTCAGTAATTGTTTGCCCTGGATGGTTTATCATGAAACAGTCGCACTCCTGACTAAAATAGGTTTTTAAGGGACCAAAAAATGACACATCCATAGAATGTTGTCGATGGGTTGTATGTGGGGAAAATCCGACCATTATAATGCCAGATTCCCTTGCAAAATAGATGGATTGAAGAGTAACGTGGTTACGTTGATTGTCCACAAAAAGTAAAATGGGTTCCTCCGGAGAGCATTTCGTGTATTGCTTGAAGTGTTTCAGGTATTTTAGAAATATCTAATTTATCCATCCGTTTTTCTGCTCACTTCCTGATGACCCTACAGGTGCTCCCCATGAAGAAGTTCGTTTTTCATGCGGACTCTGCCGAAAACAAAAAAAGGTGGAACATAATTACCAGCAGCATTGGCAGCGCAGGCCACCGTTGTATTCTTGCCCCTTTCCGCTGAAACTACTTTTGCCACTCTTCTATTTCCACGTGGACTGAAGACTTTGGGAATTTTGGTGGGCACCGTAGAAACACCAGTTTCATCTGCATTATAAATGCTTTCGGGTTTGCAGTGCTATTTTGTTTAAAGTTCGCTAACGATATCGAAGAAGATGCCGAGTGATGCTTTATTAAATCCCATTAATCTTGCCAACGGCGTAGATTCTGGTTTTCGCAAGCTTAATTTCCATTTTTTGCCAAATCCAGCAGTCCAATCTTTTCCGGCCATTCCTTTTTCAGTCTTTAAACGATGGGGAATTTCGTTTCTTTCCGAATATTCATATGCTATTACTCTCAGTTGAAGAAATGCAAGTCCAAAGGCACGTTCATTTACAATTTTTATGTAATTATAAAGTTCTCTAGAATGTTCTTCCGAAAATGTGTTTCTGAATCTTCCACCATGAACAAGTAAATCTTGTCCATTTCTTTTTTTATTGGTGTATCTTCTTAACGTCGCTTCAGAAATTGAAAACCGTTCCGCTACACTGCTGACAGATTTGTCTTCTAAGACCTCATTGATGGCTGCCTCTTTATAAACCCTGCCACTCCAAGATCGGCGATCCGATATTTTCTTATTCTTAGGCATTCTGAAATAGACAGAACCAATTATTGTACAAAATTCGTTCATAAAAATACGTTGTGGGTAAGATGACGAATTCGTCATCTTAGCCGCGCCATCTTACCCGCCACCATCACGTAGAATTAGAAAAGCCAAAACTAATTGAAAATCTATTATTTTTGTGATACGTTGTGATACCATAAAACACTATTTTTAAGAGCACAAAAATTATAACCTGAGCTGTTCAAACGGCAATTGTCAAATAACTGTCGATTTGCAGACTGCAGTGCCAAGGCGAGTATAAAATTTAGTGCTGAAACTTATTGCTAGATGTCCATATAAGTTTGATGAAGAATTATTACATTTTAGAATTTATAACGAAAGTTAGTCATCTTAGTCGCTCCGTCATCTTACCCGGTTTTCCTCTAACTAAAAAAAAAATTGTATCGATCTCTTACAATAAAATGTATTATTAAACTCTTACGTTAATCAACTATTTATTTAAAAAAAACTGTTTATTTAAAAAAGAAATTGTTGTGAACAATAATGGTAAATTTTTGAAGATAATTTACAAAAAAATGTATATTTCACTAATGTTATATAGGTATTACAGTATTCAGTATTTTATTCAATTTTATTGTTTATCATTGGTTATTCTCGCAAGTTTTATCATTAAAAAACGTCTAAGCTAAGCAGACTCAACTTTGATTTATTCTAAAAATAGGAAGATAATTTGCTACTTTTAAATAAACAACTTAAAAAATTTGGTTTATGTAAATGCAGAACATAAACGGGATAAGAAGAAACACTTTTTACATTTTGTGTAATCTCCATCCGCATCAATCACAGCTCCGGCTCATGGTCATGAAAGGCTTTATGAGGTTTTCTTCAAGCTACAATTCTTTCCATACTTCCTAGTCAGGAAGTCACCTTGCCCTAGCTTCTCGCTGTTTTGGGGCATTCAATTTTTTATTCAGGACTGTTACTTTGGCATGGCAACGTTTCAATGTCGGCATTTTGGAGCCATTGTGTAACGATGTTTGCAATACGCACAGAACAGTTGTCTTGTTGAAAAATACTGAGTATCATAATGATCTGTAATATTTCCCTCAATCCGCCATACCACTCCCATGCCCCCATACACTCAAATGTCGACAAATCGAGGGTTGAAACGCTGGTTGTCTGGTTTGCATACTTTGATTTTACACTCTCTGGAAGACTGGTTTTCTTCTAATTGGAGGACGACGCGTGGTGTGATATTTAAGGTAATAACTAGCTAATATCGGTAGAACTGTTTTACGGTACCTATTTTAGAAATTACTTAATGAAACTGTTACAGAGGTAAAAAAAATATATTTTTTTAAATTCGTCGCTTCATTACCATAGCAATCGTAACTTTTGCCTTTGTTTGCGTTTTATTGTCAGTTTCGATTCTTTACGCCAAGAAAGAAAAACAACGCGACTTGTAAGAATGAGTGATAATCACGTGGTTCAGGTATAGTTCGACACACGATAAACAGCCATGACTGTAATAATGCTATTAATATTTTCATCTGGTCATTGGTGATGGTAGTATTAAGAAAATTGATACACAAAATGTAAGAATACATTGTGTTGTATTGCGTACTGTATAATTGTAACTATATAAATCATAAATAGATATTAAATAAAATTAGTCGTCAGTGCTATCGCTATAATCCATGTATATAATTAATTATTCATAATTCTCTTGAACTGCTCTCTGGTATTAAATCACATATTATATTACACAACTTTGTTCTTTAATTCGATCCATATTATTTTGAGGGTATTCCAATCCCAGTGATAGAGTGGTAGTCTAAGAGGTATCATTTTTAATACGATTTAGTTCTTAAAACTTAGCTATTTTCTTGCAAATATATTTTTTGCCAATTTGCAAGTTTTCTTGCAAAATAAAGGTCATTCTAATTAAGAAACTCTTACGACCTCTCTTTTTGTGCTGTATATCTTTGGTACTTTTTTACCTAAAGTAATTAGCATTATTATAAGCTATTACCCAGTTTTCAAAAAATTTGCTTGTCCTGATGGTAGTTTAATGAGCAGTTTTTAATATTTTTGGATGAAAATTAAAATTGACTGTCCCGCGAGTTTATGGTTAGAGAAATTCTGATGAACTTCCCACAAGTTCAATACTTTTACGAGTTTGTTAACGCCAATCAGAGAACTTGAAAAAAGTAAGGAATAAGAGTGAGCCATCGATTTATTTGTATCTAGGACGCCGTCAATAGACAGTTAATACGAGTTTTCTACGTTTACGTTTCTACTAACACAATATTTTTATTTCAGGTTTAGGTTATGTCAATCCGCCGCCGAGAAGACGAAGAGAAGAAAACAAAGGTAATATTGATAATATTTTTAAAACTAATTCAAGACTTCTGTATCGTTAGGCTATCGTCAAATTAAACTAACATTCTTCTGGGTCTTGCAGATCCACCGTAAAGTGAATAATAATTTTTCGCATGTAAAAAAAATAGGTAGACGCGGATTTTGTCCAAAGCCATACTATCTGTGTGGAAAACGTGTAATATAATGCTACGGATAAACTAATACTAGTTTTGTAATGACAGTTTATTTGTGAATTAATTCATGAAGTTGGTTCGCGGACCTACAAAAATCCATGAGAAAATGAACGAGCAATCCATCATTTTCTCCCTATTCTACCTTGAATGATGAGATGAAGCATATAGTACTGATAATATGCCCAATGTATTCTGTTCATCTAATTTTTACAATTCTTAACAGTTCTCTTTCTGACTTCATCATTTTGAATAGGGGGGATTGGGGTGGGGTGGCGACCTTAAGGTATATATCGTATAAACATATTGTAAAATATTCCTATTTACTTTAATAACAAGAAAAAACATTGTGGAGTAATATAACGCACATGTAGAGACAATAGTCACAATTAAATCCAGTTTCTCGATCAAATTGACTATATAACTCGATAGGAGGGTGTTGGAATTGATCCATACACCCAGGAAAATCTCAGGCTTTGGTTCTACCGTCTTTAATGATTTTACATTCACACGTTCTAATTTCACCGTTTGTAATGAAAAACCGAACGCTTAACTTGTTTCTTTTTTACCAGTTGTCTAAATATTCTGACGGCATCTTGGCCATGGTCGACGAAACATTGGTAGACTGAAGAGTGGCCTAATGTTAGTAAGAGAATATTAGAACATTCTGATTCAGAAGCCGTTGTTAAGTTGTTTTGTATTTCAGCTATAACTTCCTCTACATAAGTTTTAGACATTTTTTCTTTATTTGGTGGACATCTACTGGATTCTATTAAGAAGTGATATTGGAAGTTGCAAAATCAACATTAGACTTACGACTTCAGTGTTGAGTGGCTCGATTCCACATTTTTGAAAGCTGTTTACTGTTGTTCTAATTATAGCTGGTTTTAAATATGCTATACCGAACAATTTTGCTACCTCCTGATTTGTTATCACTTTTCCTGGATTGGTGATCATAAAATTTTCGCAAGCTTGACTATAATATGCTTTCATATGGCCAAAAATCCCCCAATGGTTGGGGTCGGTGAATTGAGTGGGGTGGAAAGCTCACCATTACAATGCCGTTGTTCCTGTGCAAATTTACCGCTCGAAGTGATCATTTTAACCAGTATTCTGAGATTTGACCGTTGTACATTTCGTAAAAAAATAATGTAAGGTATGTGATGATCTCGTCATCCAACAACTTGAACGGTTCGTCGAGGATTCTATCTAGGTGCTTGATTGTTGTTTGCTTCTTTGATTGCTTTTACAACTTTCGACTTTAATTTTTGTTTGTAGGTTCTCTATTCCTATTCCTATTGAACCAGATTGACAGAATTACATTCCGTCAGTTTTGTAGGTTCTCTTCGGTACATCATTTTCTAAGCTTTGATTTTGCACCAATTAGTTTTATGGGTCTTCACATAGTGCTCCTTATTCGTATTTTTCTGGTTCGTTCTTGGTTCCATCAAATTTAGGATTTCATGGACTTCACCAGAATTTAATGAAATTTTAGTATATTTACAGTACTAGTTATTATTTTCTTTGTGAGCCAATATCTCAAAAGTTATATAGACATAGAAGTACGTATTTTGTCAAACTTGGAATTGGCGAAAAGGGCTCATTTTGGGCTATTTACGTTGTCCTTGTAACTGGCAGTATGTTTTAGTTCATGAATTGTCAGTGTAAAACAAGTAATTAAGAGAATCCGAACTTCACCGAAAGAAAATTTTTAATGAAGATGTGTCGATTTTGACTTTCGTCAGGGATATTGCGATTCTGTCGGTTTACTTCAAAAATGGCGTTGGATTTCAGCCTTTTCAGTCGGATACTTTACATTTTCAAATAATTGAGAAATGGAGACTTGTTTTTTCGAAGAAACCGCCATTACGTAGGCGACGCCGATGTAAACGCTTGATAAAACGCTTTTCCAATTAGTTGCCGTATCGAAGGAATGCAAAGAAAAATGTCTGACGAAATGTCAAGGGCATTCGAGATTCTCAAACTATTACTAACGAATAAATAATAACCGCAGAGCACGAACGCTTTCTATTTGCCGTTATTACGTAACGCATTTTAACGTAATTTTGACAGGGTGCAAAAATTATTATCGATGTCGACGAAATGGCGGGGTGATTTTATGGATAGGAAACTTTATGGTTCAATGCAATCGTTTCCTGGCATTTTTTAATTTTGAATTTAATATATAATAATTTATTTTTTTAATTAATAGTAATAAATTAACGGCACTAATTCGAATATCAGAAAAAAGCAAAATGTTACTAAAGGTATCTTATTATTCTTTTCACTCGTTAGTGGACCGTAGAAACCTTTCGTTATTAGTAACAAGAACTAATGCAAAAATTGTGAAAAAGGTTTGCAATTTGTTACCTACATCTACCCCTACAGAAAAAATTTAAATCTTACTAATAGCTGCCAATAGTTGTTTCTTGAAACTGTCACAATTTTTTACAGAATTCTTTTTTAAATTCGATATTAGAGGATGGTATGTTTTGTTTTAAAATTTTTTAACTTCTTCACTCATTTCATGATTGTAATATGATATGATTTCAGAGCTATGGAAAAGAATCTTTAGCATGTTATAACTCAACGTACTTTTTAGCAGTTTCGAAACAGAATTTTGTAAAAAGCTCTGTATTTATACGGAAACCACTAGACACAGTTTGAAAAATTAAACTAAACATCAGGTGTTCGTCAATATTGTTATTCTCACAGAAATATCCGAATAAAAAAAACGTATTTCCAGCATTTGTAATATCGATTCCTGCCTTTGGTCTATCTACTAGCAAACTTTAAATCCTGAATTATTTTTTATATTATATTATTTGTATTACTTTTCTTGTTGTCTTGACTAGTTGTGATTGTAGGAGTATATCTAGGCATAATATAGGCATTTATAAAACTTACGTTCAATTGGTGGCAATAACAAATGAAACTTGTTATATTCTAGCCCGCACTTTCGGTGTCGATAACGTCATTACCTCCAAAATAGCATTTATATATACTGTACGTATATTTTGCAGCAGTTATTAATCATGATATGCAGTTTCCTCATTGCCTAGTAGTACTTTCTTGTTAGCTAGGTTGACGTTTTATTCCGGAATTGCAGCGTATTATCCCATTTTGGTGGGTATCTTCGTTATTTTTGTATATAGAAAGTTACGATATTCGCCACAGTGTGATATTTTTCGTAACGTTAAAGATACAGTTAACAATGTTTTCACCCTTTTAGTTTTTAGAATACAGGACATTTATAAAAATGTTGCATTTTGCAGTGGTTTAGGTAAAGTTTCATACTTACTAACATTGGGTTCTAAACCAAACTAATGTTGTTTTTTTAAATAGAACACTCTGTATATTTATTGACTATAAAATTGGGTCTTTTTTCACCTTTTCAAAAATATGTAATAGTGTATGCACATTATGCCACTAAATTTTATAATAAGAAAAATTGAAGGAAATGCCCTTAACAACATGTTATGACTTGCAACACAATCTTTTTCTTGGTAAACAGCATTATATTGGGGTAATAGAATATTTTCGAGTAGTTCTGGCCGAACTTCCTCGAAGAGGAAGATCTAGTTCAAAGACCTTATAAACTTGAGTGGTACCAAACTCCTTGTGTCGTTGCAAAAGTTATATATGCTAATTTCTCGTACGCCAGTTGTCATAATTATCTGCTTGCTGCAAATACCACTATAAAATATAGTACTCAATGTCCTCAGAGCGTCAGTTTTTGGCACTCCAATTATGTTCTGAATTTTCCACCTTGAAGACGGAGGTGTTGCTTCGATATCTCCTTAAATATCTGTTCTTTTCCTGTTCTTTTTGTGGTATGTTTAAACGAACAAATATATTTTTTCTGGGTACTTACTAAGCACAAAATGGAACTTCGGATAAAAAAAATAGGAAAAGTTAAAAAAAAAGAAAAAACTGTTTTATAAAGCAAAGGTCGATCCAGAAATATTTTACACTTATTTGTTTTTTTTGTCATAAACGGTGGACCATAAAAATTATCATTTATTTGCGTGTTTTTGAGGAAAAGTGTATACTATTATTTATATTTAAAAAGATAAAAAAGGCAAGTCGGGGTTCCATTAAAAAAACATAAACTTCGTCGACAACTACAACAAATAGTAAATATATAGCCAAAATTGTACATCGCTGCATTCCAGGGAAAAATATATAAAAATATTATTTTACATTCTCGATATGTTTAAGGATAAGGGAGATACGAGGGTCTCTCAAAATGCAACCTTTTCAAAAACATCTTGCATCCCGAAAATGCCATATTAATCTTGTCTCTATTTAGTTTCTATTTCCGTGGAGAAGTAACAATTTTCTTATTATAAATAGAACACCCTGTATATTTGGTTTGATGAAATTATAAGTTTTGCTGCTGCCTTTTTATAGGCAGATACTTGGGATGAGTTAAAACATCCAACTGAACAAGATTTACCTTTCGCCCTATCAGAAACATTGGCTAATATTTCAAGAAATTCTCAGAAATTTCGCCTTCTACTCCTTTTATATTAGACATTATTTTTTGGATGCTCTAAGCTATACCCAAAAATTGTTCTTGAAACTTAACTGCGGCAAAAGGAGAGCTTATTACAAAAACTTTTTTTCCTATTCTGTCGGTGCGTCTCTGTCCTTTCTGGCCTGCTCAGATCTTTCAAGGAATTGTGTCTGCACAGTTCAGTACAGTAGAATACAGTACAGTACGTCTATCGTTGAATCAAGACATATTTTCATTAGTTTAATATGATTATTTTCACGAGATTAATTTTTTGACATATTCACTATTTACCATCCGAACATCTTCTGTCGTTAGCTGTTTCGATATTTCTTGCAGTTCTGAGATAAGGTGTCATCCCGTAGTAAACAGTGCTGTATTTGTAAATATCAAAATTTGCATAATAATACAGGAGTCACCTCGTCGATTAATTGTATATAGTCACCAGATAACTTCATGAAATTATTATAGTGTTGTGTATTGTACATAGCCATACCGCGCCTTCCAATATTATCGCTTTTATTCTGACATCGATCACCGAACAATCGTTGTCTTTGTATATTTTGAACTGGATTTGGACGTTTAAGTTCCCTACTGTATAACAAATGTCACGCACACAGTAGAATTTGTGAGAAGTGTGTAATCGGAAAAAGTGGTTTTATAAAGTACAAATTTGCCATTGCGGGAGTCTAATATCTCCATAAAAAGGTTTATTCTATCGAACAATTGTGAATATCAATCCACTTTTGATTTATGAGACAATTTCAGGTTCCTTCTGGTTTCTCTATGCCTAATTCGAACGGCTTCTTAAATATCTTGAATAATTAAAAAATTTTAACCAACGCACCTTTTAATCATTTTCGTATGTATGGTAAACGGAAACATAAGAATCGCCGATTCGAAATTACTATCGAGCATACATTTGTCGCGTGCAGGGTCCATTGCTTTGTATCTCATTGCATGATGTGATGCAAAACTTTTATTTCGTATTTTCCATTAATCGCAACCGAAAGCTCTGTCTAGTTAGCATCGATTTAGAGAAAGTTTGACATATTTTTGGTTTATTCACTTCGAATTAGCTAGGAGACTCTTAGATCACCACTTAGATCACCTGAAACCGTAAATTTTAAATGTGATATTATCGGAAACACCGCCCATTTAGAACTGTTAATATGTGCTTATGCGGTACAGCCGAGCACAATAGTGGCAACGAAGAATTTAAAAACGCAGATCGTTTATTATTTGATGAGATTAAAAAAAAATGTTTTTTTTTTATATTTTGTTTTCCGCATACCTATTTTCAAAGATTTTCTTTTTCTTGTTATATTATTTTAATGTAACCTGGATCGATTGATTGATGGAAAACACGAAATAACAACATTGTCAACGTTACTATATTATATAGTACTCTATCTTCCAGCTTAGCGTACCGTTTGTACTATTTAAAAATTAGTTTGCACAATACTGTATTTTTCCATCAAACATAAACACAAACATAAACACAAATAAAACTAAAATCTCATTTTTGAAATAAAATGATATAATCTGAACACTTGAACTTCCGGTGTATTGCCGGTTGCCTGGTTTAGTATTTTGCGGCAGTAAATATTTTTTTTTGTTTCTTGATATACCAAAAAGGTTAAACATTTTATATTTTTTATTTGCGTTAATTACATGCTGCTCAATTTAATACCAATAAAAAATTATTTTGATTCTGAATAATAACCACAACGGTCCCTCACATTTTAAAATCTGTATTGAATATATTTGAATTTTATATGTTATATGTTACATATAAAAAGATATTAGCTAACGACTACACAACTTTGGAAATATCCTAAACAAGATATGTTTTTTGGATGTAAAATTATAAAGATGATGAAAAACTTATTATCCAGTTTTTCTTGAGTGCATAAAAAATTAATAAATAATTTTGTATTGTTAATTGAACCAAGTTTGATTTACCTAGACAAATGGTTTGATTATAGTGAACATAATTGGTCATGCATACAAGATAAGAACTTTAATAAGCAGATTCTGTTTAGTGAATGTGTTTCTATTATTAAAAATGTGCGTTTAGAGGAACAATGCGAAGTTAATATAGAAAAAATCGATTCTGCATTTTTGTTCTCTACTCCTGCTTCTAAGGAGACATTTCTTTCGATAAATGACCTAAGATGCCGAGATGAAAGAAATTACTAACAACGAACATTTAATAAACAACAACTTTGATTTACATTGTTGCAAGGCATACAAATTTTTTATCCAGAACCAAAGTTTATTTGTAATACAAAAAAATATCTAACTTTAAAAAAATAAATTTTTATCCAACTAATGACTTTTATTTCTAACAATTGGATTGAAATACTTTAATTCAAAATTTCATCTGAAAAACGATCTAGAGTTAAATCATGCCCCACACCATACAGGGACTCGTATTTGAAATAACCATGAATTTTATATTGTATATCTAAGAAACTATTGAAATGCATAGGAATAGAGTATGGTATAGAAGAAAACTTAACGAACCTACTGAGAAATTTCCTAAAAAATCGGAAAACGAAATAATATGCTGGACATTCCAAATACCAAATGAATATTATTCGCGTACCTGCGACACGCTTCTAGCATTTTACGCAAACCCAAAAAACCTAGGCTTAACCTACCTTTGGCTAAAAAACTTTAAAATCATTTTCCCCTCCCTTCCATCTTTATCGGCGATTTCTGTTCCGTAGATGTCACTACCGTTCTTCTAGTGGACAACCACGGCAAGTCGTCCATCGGGAGATTTCTGAGCGTAAAACCTGAATTAGGCTTAATCACGTCCACCGCGCGTACTTTCATCCAAGACGGCGTCACCACAGAGTACGCCACCCAAGTACTCGGTACCACTTTAGACAACGGACGACTGTACGCCCACTTACTGACCAAAAGCTCGAGGGTACTGTACGACGGCCCGACGAAATCACACAACAACAATAAGTGGACGCTTGATGATAAATCAACGCCTGCCAATGTCAGAAACCTGGACTATATCTCGCCTAATGCCCCCGATGCTGTTTATGTGTTCCCTACTGTTTCCCATTCCCGGGACTCCGAAGAAATCCTCAAAGAACAACCGTCTAATAACGCCAGAATACCTTACGATCGAGAGACGAACAAAGTGTTCAAAATAAACGCCAACGAGAACGTCATCCCTCACAAGGATACTTTGCCCAATAGTTTCGGACCTTCCAAAGTTACTGCGTGGGAAAATTTGCCCACTTTCACGGTGAGGAATGAGTTTTCTCCTTCGGGGTTCTCTTTTTTGGGCGACCTGCCTGATTTTGACGCCCGGACCGAAAGAACCAAACTTACGACTTCTAAAGATCGCAAGGCGAAGCTCTTGTTCAAAGCCGGCCTCGTTAAGCCCAACCCTAAGGAACTGGAAACTGTCACTTACTCAGGTTTCGCCGATTTCACTACCACTGTCGCGAATACCGTTATCGTGTTCACTCCTCACACTGCCGAAGTGCCTCAAAACGTAGCTGACGTGACGAAGATATCCGTAGAGCCCACTATTAAACCCACTTCAGTTCAGATAGAATCGACAGCTACCGAAGAAGTTAAGGAGATTTCCCTAAACACAAAACTGGAAACGTTTGTCTCTCAGAATCCGCCACTGTCTACTCACACATCAGAAAGTCATAAATTCGATTTGAAATCGACCATGGTTATCGACAAGAAAGATAGAAATGGAAAAAGCCAGCTGCCAGACGAACCTATAGATCTAAATGCCAAATTCTCTGTGTTAGCACATGAGCAGCAACAGGAAAGCGGCATTACGTTTACTCCAGATATAATACAGCCATCTGAAACTCAACCTGCAATGCTTTCAACCCCATCTGACGAAGACATAGCTAAAATCCTAGCTTCACTTCAAGCTTTAGCCGGTCAAACGACGCAACCGCTGAGTAGTATCAGCGGTTCTACGATATTCTTCGATGCGGACCCTATGGACCAGTTTACGATGGAGCCTCAAAAGTCCGGCGGAGCTACTACCATATTCTTCGAGGACGAGCTCGAACCGAGTACAACTCGGCATCCCGAGAGCACGACAGCTATGGAATTGCCAATCACTACTACCGAGCAAGAGGAGGAATCCACTACAGAGGAAGTCACAACGGTTACCGATAGGGAACTAGAGACTACTCCACAGAACGAAATCGATACCGAAAAACCTGCAGACGACGATGTCTGTACAGATGGCAAGATCGTCATTCCTTCCACCACGTATAAAACGCTGACGTATTTGACGACTTTTTTCATCCCCGGGGAAGAAACCACATCGACTTCGATAAAATCTAATATCGTAGTATCCACTGTGGTAAATTCGCACTGTAACGAAGCGTCTGTTGCAGTAATGACCACGGAGGAGAGTAAGACAACGACAGAGCAAATCTTCACCACCACAGAGATAGAATATGACGTTCAAACAACTCCTACGACTCCTAAAGATGAACTCACAACTGGTCGGGAAGACGCGACCACTCCTCAGGAAGTGACGACCGAAACGCGTCACGTGACGGAGTCTGAACCGGAGGCGACCGAAGCTACCACCGAAGAAGGCGACGAAATTCAGTTGATATTTAAAACGTTGTATACGACGTACACGTATCTGACAACGTACTTCCAAGATAGTACCAGCTCGGTCGCCAGTAGAGTTGTAGTTACGACTAACGTAATCACGTCGACTTTGGATGCGGACTTCGATTCTACCGACCCGGCAGTCGCAGGCTTGCTAGATGACGAAGACGACGTAATCGTACCTTCTAGGACGGTGTCGTTCGATGATTTAGCAGGGATTCAGTCGGAACGAGATGAAGAATCATCGGAAGATGACATACTAGAAGCAACCCCAGCTCTCGACGACGAGCACTTACGGACCGCTAACGGCGTGAAGACTTTCTACACTACTTACACGTACTTTACGACTATCTTCGTGGACGGCGAGACTGAAATTTCCAATCGGACAGAAGTTTACACCAACTACGTCACGCCGAGCTTGGCGTCATCTGTTGGGGTCGCGATACAACCTACAAAATTGGGAAACGAAGTACCCTTAGACGAGGAACAGCTTCTACTTCAGAACAAACTCAGGAGTCTAAAATACGATACGTTAAACGAGCAGAAGCTAGACAATGAAATCCTTAATCTTAACGACTACGAAACCGTCGCAACGGTGGTTCGCAGCAGCACGTCGAAAGGTGACGCACGCGTTCTCGACAACTTAGATAAAAGGAATGTGCTTGTAGATGACCAGATTGTGTCAGAATCGAACAACGATTCGGAAATCATCCCTTCTCCGACGCTACTTCTGCAGACTAGCTACACCACGTTTACGTATTTCACGACGATGTACCACGGCACGACTTCCAGCGACGTTGCGAGCAGACTCGAAACCGTTACCAACGTGGTGACGCAAACGCTAACTCCGACGGAGACGTTGAGCGCGGAAGATTCGAGTTTGCCCGTTACTTATTTCACCACATTCACGTATTGGACCACCCTGTACAAGGATGGTGAAACCAGAGTGACGAGCAGGGAAGAGACCATTTCTAATGTAGTGACGCCCACGGTAACGTCGACTGAAGCCGCTTTGCTACCGACCGCTTCACCGAGCGGCACTCTAGGACCTTCTGAATTGTCGACACCCTTAGTGCCGTCCACCGTAGGCGACGACGAGCTTACCACCTTCTTCACTACCTACACGTATTACACCACCTCCTACGTCGGAGACGAGACTATCTTAAACAGTCGATTGGAGACTGTGACTAATGTGTTGAATCAAACTGATGACAACTCGAGCGCCACTGGAAATATTGAATTATCTTCGACTACTATTAAGTCGACTGGCCGGTTGTCGACCGTACTAGACACTTTGGAGTTCAACGGCACAACCACCAACGGCTCGTATGCTAAAGTTTTGGAGAGCACGTCCTTGATTTTACCCACTTTGACGGAAGATTTGCTAAAGCCCACCGGGATTGTAAGCATAAACCAGGGAAAAATAGTGGACGCTGACGGCGTAAGCACTCTTTTTTACACCACTCAAGCCGTGGGAACATACATCGATGACCTCTACGCCCAAGTGATCGAGAGCACCAGTTCACTCGCAGTGGACCAGGAAAAGAAGTCGTCTTTAGGCACCGATCTACCGACCCCGCACAGAACCGGTTTGGTTAGGCTCATAGAGGGTAGCATCGTGCAAAACCAAACGACCACGCTGTATCGGTCGAAGGTATTGGGCACCGTCATAGATGGGCGTTACGCGCAAATCATAGAGAGCACTTCGAGCTTTCTTCTGCCTCAGATATTGCCTAGCACTTTAGTGAACGAAATCGTACCTAGTCCGACGAAATCTCCGGAAGAAAGCGTGGAGGCTACGGCTACGATAACACCCGCACCGGTCGCCATAGAAGGCTCCATAAATGAAGAAAGTCTTGAAGATGAAGACGACGAAGACAAACCGAAATCGAGACTATCGTTTCAATCGAAGAAGCGTACCTTTACTCCTGCGATAAGGCCTTTCGCTTCGAGACAAAGACCAACCTTCGCTCCCAAAAGAAGCAAGCCCGGCCAAACTACGGCGGCCACGATCACCAGGTCCGATTTCACACCGACGGTGACCGCGGTACCGGCTTCTAAACAAAACAGGTTCGGAGCGAGGCGATCCAATAGCGTTTCGTCCACGGTGTCAGGGTCCCGCAGGTTCTCCAAGCCTACCGCTGGAGCTAGAAGAAGCGGAAGCAGTAGAATTCAGCCCACATCCTCGGGTAGCTCCAGAAGAGGAGGTTTTAGGACGTCCGCTAGTTCTTTAAACAGACAGCGAATCAGGCCGACCGGAGTCCCCGGCCTGAGCAGGTCTCCAAGCTCCAAGGTTTTATCGGAAGCACCACCCGACGAGGAAAACGAATTGACAACCGACATTCCGTTCACCGAGGATACAACGTTGCCGCTGCAATCGACGACTGAGTCTGCCAGGCGCAGCAATAACCCCTTGCTGCGCTTCAGAAGACCTAACGTGCCCCGTACCTCCCCCGCCGCGAAATCATCAACGAAAAAAGCCGTCGCGACGACGACAACGACCAAACCTCGAACCACCAGGCCGACTAGTTTACTAAGTCGCTCCAGGTCCAACAATTTATTCCCCAGAAGGAACTTGTTTACAACCACCACGGCGTCGTCTCCAGAGGAACCGGACTTGGAAGAGGATAGCGAAGTTTTGTCGGAAGAAGATACCGATTACGACTCCTCGCTGTTTAACACTCGAACCGAGAATCCTCCGACGACGCCTTCGTCAAGAGGTGGTAAAACTTTCAACTCTGTGTCCATTAAGCCGTTCTTCAGGAAGAGGTTTAGGAGGGATACGTACTCGAAATTCCGGAGACCGTCGGGAAGGACTACCCCGGCGACGGTGATTGAAGAGGAAATCATAGAGGAAATGACGCCTAAGCCAGCGTACAGGAGCCGGTTCCAGCCAAACAAGCGTCGAAAATCACCGACACAGGCTACGACTCAAGCGTCGACTAGGAAGAGGATATCACCTAGCAAACCTTCTTCGGGAAGAACTCAGTTTACTTTGAGGGAGAAGGACGCCGCTACTGCCAGATCCAACTTTAAAAGACGTGGCAGCGCGACCACCAGAACCACTACCACGGCGCCCAGAGCCAATAACAGATCTTCGGCGAGAAGGACCACCACCACGAGGAGCAGAGGCAGCAGGAGACCACACCAATCGGATCAGAACTTGGACGATAACTTTGTTTTGCCGAGCTTCGATGGCACGATCACCATAACACATCGAATACCAACGGAGTCCACCATTCCCGTCGTTAATGGTAAAATAACAGAATATAAGAACATTGTAACGGCCAAATACAGTACAGAGGTGTTGAATCCAATACAGTATTCGACCAGCATCGACGCCTTCGGCAAGGAGCTGAAGGTGCTCTCTAGCGAGAAAACGAGCTTCGGTAACAACGGTGCCACCTTAATCACGCAGTTCGTTTTGCGCGAGACGCCTACGACGAGCGTCACATACACCCCCACTTATATTAGGGGGAGAAAGACGTCGTTTTCGCACGTCATACCCAGCACCGCCTACGGGGTCGAAGAAGTGGTGAACACAATACAGCCCGTATTGGCGGCTCAAGCGCCTCTGGCTAACATTCTGCTCTCTCAGTTGCTTTTGGGAGGTGGACTAGCGCAGAATCCTCTTTTGGCATTGCAAAACAGCCCAGCGGCGGCCACTCCTACCACGGAATACAAAATCCGTACTACGAGTTATGTTACCACCGTAACCAGCACCTTGGAAACCGTGATACCCTTAACGTTTAGGGGAAAAGAAATACTGACGACCATATTGGATACCACCGCCAAGGTCGTCACGGCTACTGAGTTCTTAACAGATACGGTGGTTGTAACGCCAACGCAGGCCCTGGGCTTCGGCCTGGGAACACAGCTGAACACACTGCTGTTGCCGCTGCTTCAGCAGCAGCTGCAGTCGCAAGTGATACCGAACCAAATACCTTTGCAACCTCAGAACACGAGCAATCTTTTTACGGTATCGGAGCCGCAGGCTGAGGAAGATTTGGAGCACAACGATCTGGTTGTAGAAGAAACCTACAGGGAGATGAAGAGGAAGAATAAAAAAACGCCGGTACCATCTTCAAAGGAAACCAGCGTTATCACTCTGTACGTTTCGGGTAGAACACCAGGAGAATTTAGCACCGTTCTATCGACGGTAACAGTCGGCGATGAGGGCCGGAGAAAGCGCGAGGTGCCAGTTAAGCCCTCGGCAAGGTTCGAACGCGTCGAAGACGTGGACGGCGTTGTAATGCCTGCACCTAAAGGTTTTACAATAGAATTTTCGGAGGGAGGCACGAGAGAAACCGAAAGCTTAGAGAGCATAATCGGAGACGTCACTAAACACGTTACGAACGTCAAACCCACGGAGAAACGCGAGATTCGATACGTCAAAGCGTCGGAAGATTTAATCAGACAGTCGTCCGATGATTTTTTAGCGTAAAAGACCTCAGCAGTATCGCTGCCCCCGATGATGCCGAGGTCGAAACTTCACCGAAACCGAGGGGCACTTCCGTAATTGGCAGAGACAAACGAGAGGTACATCCTAAACGCAAAATTATCAAAAAACTGGTCAAAAGGAAACCTATTGCTACTAAAAACGAAACTGTCGCCGACGACGAAGCTACGTTGGAAGCACCTTTGGCACGCAAGCGTCGCCGCAAGGTCAAAATTAAGAAGAAGAAACGTTTGCTGTCTAACGTGGATAATTTTACGAACAGCAACAGTTTTGAAGATCACGCACAACAGGCCACCAAGCCGAGGAGGAAGGTGGTGATCACCAGGAAGCGGCTTTTGCCTAACAAAAATAAAAGCACTTCGACTAGGGTCGATTCAACCTCTGCGGTCGCCCAATTGAGTACAATGTACGGTTTGGAGCATTACGAGATCATGACAAACGCACCCAGTCAACTGGAGCTGCGAAATAAACACACAAACCTCGATGACGCCGATGAAGATGAAGGTAATACTGAGGAGAATTTGGTGGACCGCAAAAATTCTGAAGAATTGCCCGAAAACGTCGGCGAAGAAGAATCGGAACAACTATCATCGAACGAAGACTACGAAATAGAATATAACGACGAGACAGAAGAGGAAGAGGTGGAAGACGAGGAAGAGTATACGGAAGAAACTCCCAACTTTCAAGAACTTCCGGAATACGAGCCCTCCATTCCCGTGTTAAACGAGTCGTTTGAGGCACCCCTCCTACCTTTGAAAACTACTGTTCTTTCCTCCGTGGAACTTTCGACTCGCACTTTGACTACGACGCTCCTGATGACGCACGTATACGCGGTGACTGCGTCCGCCGGCGACGGCGAGATCATCACCTCGACGACCGAATATGAACCGCAAATACAGACAAGCACAGTCGTAGACTTGGTTACGTCACTGACGACGCTGACGCTGCTAGACATTGACCCTACGATCACCGACCCTTCTTTGGACATATCTTCCACCTCTTCGCTCCACGAAGGTGAGTGCTTTTGTATTATAATTTTCGTTTTCTATTGTTGTTTTCCGTCGATTAACAAGTTTGTAAATATCCTGTACAAAAATTACGGTTAATATGTTAAGAAACTTCCGCGGGCTGCGGAATTTGTAGGAACCCTTCTTCTAGATTTCTTCTGGGTCAGGTATTGACTATTTTTTTTTTAAATCCTATAAAAAAATTCTAGATGACTCGGGGGAAAGTGGGGAACCATATCTGTTTCTGATATTCGTCAAAATAATTTCTTATATCCAGAAAAAATTTGAGAACCCATCGAAATGACACAAGTGCCTATTTCTCTGCTATTTGGAATTCGATCATCGTGAAGCAAAATGCATGTAAAATAATTAGCTTTTAGTTTCCGAATGTAGCATGTTGGGCAAAACGCCAGTAAGAAAAAGTCAATACCTGACGCCCGAGAAATTCAGAAGTGTACCTACAAAATTACGTTTACATCGAAACCCTTGATATTCACATGAGATATTTTGACAGAGGAAAGAGAAGAAGGGAGAACTTTAGCGACCCGCATTATGTCGAACGGAGTGGAGGTTATCGTGGCCGGGGACAAAACGACCAGGCCGGGTGACGTCAATTACAGGATTTTGACGAGTTCGAAACCCGTGACCTTGAAACCTAGTACTTTAAGCGACCACATGATGATGATGCTTCCGCAAGAGGCTACAAGTGTAAGTACTGATGAAAAATGAAATTTGATTTTTAGCATCCCTTCAACGTTAACATCTACTACATAAGTACATATATTTTTGTTTCAACATCAAATCACGCACTTGTTGCTTAGTATTTTGAAACTGTTCTTGTGCGCATTTCAATTGACAATCTTGAAATGCCACTGATTTAATCTTAAATAATAAAGGAACAAGAAGGGAACCGAGATACGGTACTAATTTTTGCATTATTTTGCATTATGGAATTATTTAAATAGTTTAATGTGTATGTGCAATCAGTGTTTTTCTTCTCCCCTAACACGTCGATGAACTCGTGTGGTTTAAATAAAATATTTTTATTGCTGAAAACACAATCGCAGCATGACAATTGAAATCTTAGGTGATTTGAATTTATTTAAAACGTTAATAAAAACAAAATTTATTTTCATTTGAGTTCGAAACCCGTGACCTTGAAACCTAGTACTTTAAGCGACCACATGATGATGATGCTTCCGCAAGAGGCTACAAGTGTAAGTACTGATGAAAAATGAAATTTGATTTTTAGCATCCCTTCAACGTTAACATCTACTACATAAGTACATATATTTTTGTTTCAACATCAAATCACGCACTTGTTGCTTAGTATTTTGAAACTGTTCTTGTGCGCATTTCAATTGACAATCTTGAAATGCCACTGATTTAATCTTAAATAATAAAGGAACAAGAAGGGAACCGAGATACGGTACTAATTTTTGCATTATTTTGCATTATGGAATTATTTAAATAGTTTAATGTGTATGTGCAATCAGTGTTTTTCTTCTCCCCTAACACGTCGATGAACTCGTGTGGTTTAAATAAAATATTTTTATTGCTGAAAACACAATCGCAGCATGACAATTGAAATCTTAGGTGATTTGAATTTATTTAAAACGTTAATAAAAACAAAATTTATTTTCATTTGTTAATTAGAAATTAAATTTTTCTGTCAACAAAATTCCGCTGAATTTAATGTTAACACCATTCTCAGAACTTTAGAAACGTCCTGACATCTATCACTCATATAAGTGTAGATTACTATTGCCAAAGCTATTCAAACTTATTTTTTCTATTAGTAGTGGATTTTGGTGAACTAACCAAAATGGAGCATTAATTTGTCTCAGCTATAAAACACTACTCACTATAATTATGCTAACTATGACTAATGTTAAAAAATCTTGTAGAAACAAAACATTCCAAAAACTCGAACATTAAATGGATATTTTTTGATTTTTAATTGTTAGGCCGACGACCGAGCGACTCCGACCCTTCCTCCGAACCAATTCGTAGTGAAAACATGTCTGACCACCTTTACGTACCTCACGACTTATCTGGACAACGGCGTGACGACGGTTTCAAGTCACGAAAAGGTTATATCCAACGTGGCCACCGAAGACAGACTCGATTCCGGTAAAATTCTGCCTACACCGGCCGTAGGGGTCACCTTGACGCAAGTAAGTCCCAAACAATAATAATAATAATGTATTTATTTGACAATCTAAGGTTATCGCAAATCTAACATTTGACTACTCTACTCAACCAAATAAGTTTAGAACATAGGTTACAAATTTAGTTCTTTTTACATAATAAAATAGTTTATTGGTTTGTAACTAATAGAAACAAGTTTTTATTATATTCTAGTTTGAGTTAGTAGAGTTTTACAACAGTTTTTGTATTTCATTTTGAAACCTTGTGCCGATATATAAAAGCGATTACTGGGAATTAACTTCAAATCCTTCACGAGCTTTATTCTAAAATGATGATAGTTCAATATCTTAATTTTACAGTAGTTCTAATTTTAACATTGTGAACAATGTTCGAAACATTAAGCGACTCTTTATAGAAACTGGCGAGCTACTGTTAGTAGATATGTAAAGCCGGTTCCAGAGCATAAATGAAACATAACCCAAAACTTCTATGCTACGGGTGAAGCAGATCCTACCACCACCGGGGGATTCCTATGCCTAAGCTGGGGCAGAGCACTCCCTGCAGGCACAGGGGCCCCTTTCGCATGGTTTTATGTTTAATGTTATGTCTGATTTCTGCTCTGGAACCCCTTCTACACTTCTCTCTCTCTCTCTCTCTCTCACTCTCCTCCCCCCCCTTCTATCTCTTTCTGATTTCTATATTCTTCATATAAACAGAAACCATAAACTAAAAATATGTCTTTTACAGTACAAAGTTATCGTGGAGGCAAAAGATTTTGGAAATATTTTGTTTTAGATGTTATTTCAATATAAGCTTGTCTACAATAACTCCCACATTTAATTTTTATTTAATTTTGACTGACTGATAACAATATTTAATTTTTTAGAAAATTCTTCTCATTGCCAAAGATGAAAGTGATAATTATCTTTGCCTCTCTTGATAGTTACATAGATTAGATAGATACTTACATAGATAAAAGGGTAAATGCGATAGGTAAACCGCAGAGCTGAAGGTGTACACTGTAATTCCTTTTTTACAAACAATAGTACGATAAATGCTTATATTGCATCTTATTATAGGCATCAACCCCACCCGCTCTGCCAAATCTATCCTGTATCTATCGTATCGTACGTTTATAAGGCCAAATTTGAAGGTGGTATTTTTCAATTTAGTTGTACAAGATCAATAAAATATTATATTTGAAGTGTTTAATGAATGACACAATAAAAAGCTTTTGCAACTTTTGAACAATTGACTGATGTCCACATTGAAACAAGAAATTTTATTCAATTATACATAAAATTCAAACCAATATACGAAAGTATGTACTCATATTTGGCGCAATAAATTAATCGTTGTTTCAAAATCAGTTACATTCAAAATTCGGTAAAGTTAGTCGTTATATTTAAAACGCACGCAATTTTATCTGAAAACTGACGTCTAGCAACGTCTAGTAACTACAGAAATATTTTGATTATATCGTTTTTAATTGACATATCATTTTCTTTTATCATTCTCATTCCATTTGCAGTACCCGAATTTATCGGTTGGGGTCTTCCACACGACCTACACGTACTTGAACACCATCCTGGATGGAGAACAACCGCTGGTGTTGTCCTCGAAGCATGTGGTGACCAACACTATAACCGCTCCTGACGATTATTTGTCGCTGCTGAGTCCTACCGAAGTCGAGGCTCCTTCGAAAGAGACCAACACGTATTTCAGCACCATCGATTTGGAGAAGACCCTGTACGAAGACGGCAAAGAGAGCGTGATCAGTACCAGGGAAATGGTCACTCAGGTGGTCATCACCGAAAGCGCGCTGCCGAAGACGACTTCTCTCTCGCCAGATTCGGATATAAAAAGACCGAAACTAACTACCACCGACGTGGTCAAAACGTATTTCGTAACTTATACGTATTACAACACGTTGCTGGACAACGGTACTCCCTTGGTGTTTACCAATATTTCCACAGAAAGCGACGTCGTTACGGAGAAGATGTACATAAAGCCAGAAAGCCCGTCTAAAACCTTAGAATTTGATATTTTGGCCACCAACACGTACTTGACGACGTTTACGTACCTTACGACACTCCTCCAGGAAAACAACTCTACGGTGATGAGTTCCAGGACCGAGGTAGTGGAGAACGTAGCCACCGAGAAGTTAGATCCCCAGAGATTCGACACCGAGTACCTCAGCGGTTTAAAGGAGGAACTAGATAACACGATAACGAAAGTGGCCACATTGACGGACGGTCAAGTAATGCAGGTCACAGTCATAGCCAAGGATAATTCTCGAATCGTGCCGACCAGTGTGTTGCCCATTCAAAAGACGGCCGAACCGTCGTCGGCCACGGAAACGTTCTCCTTGGAAGAAACGCCATCCGGCTCGACGCCCAGCGTCATCACCGGCTCCACCATAGTCTTCGTTGACGACGACCCGTTCGCCAACCTGGCGGCCACGCCCGTTTTGACGACCAGCATCAAAGCTACGTCGGTGTCGACCGCAGAAGTGAAGGAAACGAAGATTTCGGTGGTTACCAGCAAAGTAAAACGGCCGGGTACCAAAAGCAAGACCAAAACGCCCGCGGAAGCTATCGGGATGCAGCCCCCAAACGACCTTCTCGGCTTAGGGTCGATAAACATCGACGACACGCTGCAGGTAAGATCCAGATTTGGTAGATTTAGCAATTAACCTCTCAGCTACTGCAATCCAAAGCAGACATTCATACATTTTGTCGAAAAATGTTGCATTCAGTGTTTCCTTCCCCTCAAGATGCCTCTTAAGCCCGCCTATTGACCTATTTTATATTTTTTTATATTATTTTTAAGGCATTTCTTTAGCAGCTTAGGTTTGCTGTAAATTTGATCAATGAGGAATTTCTTATCCTCTCTTTGTCTTGGCATACCGCTTCACCATTCCAATGTTCTGTTTCTATGAGCTTCGGCGACCTTCCTTATATTTTTCGCCTTTATTCCTCTTGCACAGTGTTGTGCACCAGATTGTTTTTGACTTTTCGAATCTTCTGTAGCTGGGATTTAAGTCCTGTAATACTTAGGGTGGGTGTATGCATAGGCAGCCCTAGGACTTGTTATGCCTTTATCTCTCTGTAGAGGTTGTTTTTTGTTGCTATGCTCGCCAATTATCGATGCCTTTCAGTATTCTATAGGCGACAGATCCAGATTCGGCTTGGATATAGATTTGCGTTGTATAACGCCACGCGACCATCGCTCCATACGTCATCATTGGTCTGAAGTACTGTTAAGTACTAAGTATCATTTATGGGTTTAAACACTTGGCTCCCTTAAAAAAATGTAGTCTTTTCCTATATACTAAAGGCGGTTTCATTCCAGTAAAAAGCGAAAGCCGTGTGTCAGATTATCGATGGGTCAATTTTCTGCAGGTGTTGACGCCCGTTCTCTCCGCGATGGCGGGCTACATCAACAAGAACCTCAAGTCCAATCGGCGTAGCGACAACGTGACTACCGAGAAGATCGCAGTCCAAGTCAAAAAGGAACAACAGGCGGACTCTCAGAACAGGTCCCCGGTGTATATTCCCGTGGGGGGCGTGTCCGGCGACGATTTTGAGATCGCGGAGAGCCAAAACGTCGCGACCTTCGACTGGGTCGACTCCGTTCTGCCGGGAAAGCCGAGTAAGTTTATTTTTCAGAATTGGCACATTTTTTCAATTCTTATTTTAAGTTTTGTTCCCAAATCAACGCACAAGTAAGAAATATCAAAGAAACTTATGAACGAAAGTAGTTTCAGATTTCTAATACCACACACACAATTTAGAATTTGTACATTAAAAAATAATTGCTTAATCCATAAATACTATTCGAAAGCATTTCGAATTCTCGAAAATATTTGTACTCAAAGTTTTCAAACTCTTCATTGACTCTGGAAGATAATTGTATGAAGGGAGTCCCTCATAATTTTTGCATTTTTTTTACGATTACCTTGTTTTAACATAACCTATCTTAAAATTTGGCCTTACATCCTTCGGAATTTTCCACTTGGCTATTAGAAGGATTATTCAGTACTTGAGCACAGAAAACAGTTTGGAAACTTATAAATATCTTATGTCTTATAGTAAAATTATTGTTCTTGCAATAACACCTAAGGTGATTTTGGAATAGAATTTTTTACCAAAAAGGATTTATAAATATATTATCAAAACTATAAAGACGGGTATAAAATTAGAAGTAGCAGAAAAATGAAATGCTCGAATTTCTAATATAAATTATGCAATCGGTATTGATAGTTGAGGTTTCGTAGTAGCTGTCAAATATATTTATATATAATTATAATTATAATATTACAGTAATTTATAATATTTTAAATATATGATTTGAATGTACCGTTAATTTTAATATACCAATGCCATGGTTAGTTTTGGTTTTGGTGACGATTTGAGCCTCTACAAAGATTTGCTTAATTTTGCAACTTTTTCTTCTAAAAGACCGAAACTTTTAGGAAATTTTATGTAAACATCTTCGTTGGCGTCTCCATTCAAACATGCAGTACAAAATCTGGTATTTGCAATTGTTGCATAAAGCTAGGAGTATCCTTATTCCTTGCCAAATGGGCTATAAATGTCATTATTAAACATAACAATTTGCTGATAGCCTCGGTAGTAACGTTACGGAGCTTCTTTTCTTTTTGTACACCCATACACCCATGATTTTGTATTTAATATATTCATTTTTCGCTAAAAATCAGTGAGTCTCGTTTCCTTCGAAGCTCCTATTTCCCGTTGCTTGGCCTGTTGCCTTTTATCACTATCACTATCACACATTGCGTGTTCATAGTATATTTATCATCTTCGGACATAGATATCAACATTATGTCCATATTCAATTCATAATCGTTATGTTCAGTTAGATCTAGTTAGTTAGAAATGCTAGGAAGATTTTTGGGCCATCGGCACCAAATACCTCCGTGGTGTTTCAGCTGATCATATTGCATTTTGCATATTGGTGAGAGAGAATCACCTCGCCTCAAGCCGTTTTCCACTTTAAACCATTCTGACAGCATTTCTACCATTGTTACTTTATTTCGGGAACCGTTGGAGCACATATCTATCAGTCTAATTAGTTTTCTAGGGATTCCCAATTCTACTATTACTTGCTTGAATTCTATATTCTGTGGTGAATTTCTGTGCGAAATTCACAGAGGTGTATCTAATCTGATATCTGATCAATTCGCTCTAAATCCACATGGGTAGTCTTCCATGCCATGATGTGTTCCAGAAGTATGTTTGCAAGGATTTTATATGCTGTGTAAATTAAGGATATTCCTCTGGCATTACTGGACTTCATTATATATCCCTTTTTACGGATAGAGATGATGAGGTTCTGTTTTCACTCCTGACAACATATAAGCATGTGTAGTAGTTTTCCTCTATCTTAGCTCTGCTGTTATATTAGGGCTTTCTTGCTCTTAAATTGTTTGATAGCTTTAACCAATTCTTCGTATGCAGGATGCCAGGATTCTGCAGTCTGGTACTACGTTCAGTTGTAGTGTTTTTAGTCTTGTGATCTATATTTAGGAGCTGGTCAAAGTAATCTCCACTCGTCCACGATTTCGTTTTTGTTGGCCACCAATCTACCATCCTCCTTCTTACTGAATACGTTTTTGCTCTAATGTTGGTCTGTTTAATGTTTGCAATTTCCTTATAAAACGAGACGGGTTATGTTTACTGTGTTGCTCGATTTTCTAGAAACCCCGTATAAATATCTGTTTTTAATAAAATGTTACTTCAGCACGAATCAAAACGGTACTTCGATTGTAGATAAAGTGGCTCAAGAGTCGCCCCTACTGTCCAACGGCATCCCCATCAGCCCGGGCGATGTAATCACCACCAACTCCGACGTCATCGTGGGAAAAATTAAAGGACGTGTGGGTCCTCGGTTGCCATCTATTCCCTTCAACCCCTACCGCGACCCGCGTCCCCCACCCCACCCTAAGTTCTGGCTTACCGAAAATACCCACGAGTACGCCGAAAACGAGTTGAGCCTCGAAAATCAGGTCCACAATATAGTGCACGTACCCAATAAGGATGACTATGTGGGTCCGCCGCCTCCAGTGCCTAAAGAAAACAAGCGACATCACAGCCACGTACCCAAAAGTTCGTACCGCGAACATAGCCTAAATCAGGTAATTAAAAAATGCATCGAAATAAATAAATATTTGTTTGTTATTTACTACCGGAAGAACAGTAAATTGTTTTTTGTCAATTCATGCTTGATAACACTAGATCACTCTAAACTTATTTGCTCTACAAATAAAACAGCAATATTGAGAGAACACAAAGTTTGAGAATAATACCAAAAAAAAATTTTTTTACTAGCTTATACAGGGTGTCCCGAAATTGGGCAAATTATAACCAACATTTTTACATAAGCCATAGTTTTCTATATATTATAGATTCTTTCCAAAACAGGTTGAAAGAAATTTTTGAATAGTTTTCGCTGGTATGGCGAATCTGAATAATACATGCCAAATTTTGAGGAGTACATGTAACAAAAACTGGAATTACTTTTTTTGTTTTTTGGCTTTCAGATGTTTTTCTTTATAAAATCGGAAAAGTTATGGTGCTTTACGAGACACTTAAGTGATATAGCCAATATGGACTGTTTTAGAAAAAAATGGATTTGAAAAATACACTGTTTACCATACCCATCCAATAGAATAGAATAATCCAGTAAATGTTAATCAGGTGACCGAGCTGGCGACTTATCTAACATACTATATACGATATATTCTAAACGGTTCGGAAAGTCTCCGAATCTTAACTTTTAGCAAAAAGTTCATTTATCTACATCACCAAACTAATTTATAAAAAAGAGTTGTTTTAGGAATATTGGTAATATCTGCTATAATATTCTGTAGTGCTATTTGAGGATTAAGCGATCCTTCATAATCGTAATTTCCCATACATCTTCCTTCCTTTTCGCTGAGATTGACTAAACCAAGTTTTGCTAGATTTCTAGGTATATTAAAAAATACTCTCTGATGTGGTTGTTATCTTTGTCAAAACCATCTTTCGAACTCAGAAATTAAAAAAGAAAACTTGTGAACAAAAAAAAGCCATATCAAATTAACATCAAAACAACCACCTTATCAGTTAATTTGAATTTAAACAAGGTATATAGTAAGGTAATAAGATTTTCTATATAACTGTAAGTTAATGCAAAGTAACGGAATTAGAGTTGTTCTGTTGGCACTACTATAACGCAAAAGTTTATCTACCAAGATTTTGTAGAATATTTTAATTTATTTTTTCGAAAATTTTGGTTATTTTTTTTTAAGTATTAAGTTTTTATTTATTTAAGTTTTCTCTCTATACCAGTCTGGTTGGTTGGTACTATTTTCAAATTTTGTATGTTTTCAATGTCGCTGTTTTAGTTGAGAATAATAATAGTAAATTGGTCGAATGGAAAAAATGTTTTACATTATTTTATTCTTGCTGATGAAGCCTACAATCTTGGGCGAATGTTGAAAGAAATAAGAATAAGACACAGTTGTCCCTGCTGCATTGTTTCCTCTTCAATAATAAATAATTGGGTATCCCAGTGTTATCGAAGCTTGTTTATTTGCTACTTTATATTAATTGACTTAAACAGACACCTCTGACTGAGTGTTGTCGAAAATGTTTACGGAATGTGACAAACACTGTTTATATACCTGAACATCATCCTTCAGGTACAATTTAACAACACATTTATATATAAATGTTATCTTCGAGTAAAACGGACACAGATCTTCCTGTAAAACTCTAGTTTTACAACTACAGAAAAGCACAAGATGTGTTGCTTGTGTCTGCATGGAGAACTCAAGCAGTAATGCGCAATTCTAAAAATACCCTTTCCCCAAAAGTATCTACTGTCAAATAATCATTAGCATAATCCCAAGCCTAAGGAGAATAAATACATCTCTCCATAAGTAGTGTTACATAATATATGAATGCACAAACTAGATGCGAATAGCGTTGACAGTTCGCGACAAAATTTACTTTGAAGTTGACTGAAATTTTAGTGGTACGTTAATTTTGATGCGAAGTTAATGTCTTTTAAAAATAGTAGTTAATTCTACGATTTGTTTATATCTAGCCGGTGATATCCGCAGTACCCGTCGTACTACCGGAGGTGATCGAGCGAAGTACCGGTCAGCCTTTGCTGGTTCAGCTTCAACCCTCCCAAGTGGCTTTGGTAAAGATTCCGTTCAACAGGACTACCGCGCTCGTATACGGTGGCGCCACCGAGCCGCACGTTAGCGGGCAGTACTTCGACGATCCCAGTCCTTACCCCGAACCCGAGTACAACCGCGAACCGCCTCGGTTCACTTCCAATAGTAACCAGAAGCGAGTGACGGGCGTTATGAAGGTGGAAAGTCATCAAATCCATCCAATGGGCTGGAACAAATTCAGTCCCGAGCTGCTGAGCCAGGAAGTCACGAACGTTAAGGAGTACTACCCCGTAGACTCTGCAAAACGTCGACCCAGTGGTACCCAGAACTATCACATTTCTCAATTCATGGAACCGCCTCCGTTTGTCGAGAAACCGGCGCCGGTACCATTCGTAAACGTCAACAAGTACCACCTCCACAAAGAAATGCCGGCCTCCGATGCCGAATTCGGAAGTTTCGGAGGTGATCTGGAAAGCGAGGATGGAGAAGTGATACAGGAATCCAACGCGAGGCCTCTGAGGCCGGGAGAAGTACCCATAGAGATTTTGAACGAAGTTTCCACGCAACGTACCACCCATTACGTCAGATTCCCCACGGTCACCGAACGCAAGCCTCAAACTAGAATCACCATCCCCATCAGCTACGACAAGTACTATACAACGCCGGTGCCAAAAACTACGAGATATACGAGACCGGCAGCTTCCAGCGCCAACAAGCCGCTTCTGATCTTTATAGATGAAAACGGAAGTACCAGCAACTATTTCGACACCAAGAAGATCAAAAATAGTAGGCCGAAGGTGACCTCGTTGCCGATCGATCACCAAACTTTGAAACCGCGCCCCTCCGGTGCAAATCCCGAACAAACCGAAGTTCCGTTTGCGATTCCGACAGAAAAAGTATCTACTGCGGTGCTAAATATTGGGGAAGTTACTCGCCAACCCGGCAATTCGAGCAAAATCAACGATCTAGTGGTGATGAAGCCGCCACCTCTGCTGGAAAACGTGCCGCACGTTGAAATGTTTGCACCTGCTACAAGACATTCCTTGACGAGATACACAAGACCCGCAGCTTCCAGCACCAACAAACCGGTTCTGATCTTTATAGACGAAAACGGGCACAGCACCAACTATTTCGATACCAAGAAGGTCAAAAACGGCAGGCCGAAGGTGACGTCGTTGCCGATCGATCACCAAACTTTGAAAACTCCTCCCTCTGTCGCGAATCCCGAACAAACTGAAGTTCCCTTTGTAATTTCGACAGAGAAAGCTGCTGTTCTAAATACCGGAGAAGTTAGTTACCGTCCCAGCAACTCCAGCAATGATTTAGAGGTGATGAAACCGCCACCTTTGCTCAAAGAAGTGCCGGCTGATATTGGAAAATCACCAATCATAAAATCACACCACTCAGATGATGCGGCCCCGCCCACGACCACGGAGATCGTGTTGGGGATGAGCCCGCCACCACTAGCGGCGACGCGGAAACCAACTTTAGGCAAAGATCCGATATACCCGATCGAAATGGGCGTCGCGCAAAAGAGTACTACCACGAAACCGTTGAAAAGGCCTGGCTATCGAAGGTCTACCACCAGGATACCGGCAAGAAGGAAGACTAGCGCTACCAAGAGACCGGCAAGCCCGACGTTTGACTCGTCTACCGGAAAACCCAGTCAATCGAATAATCAGAAACGTATTATTCAGCCGGAAAAAGTAATCAGTCCTTCTCCTACCGCGAAAACTACGCCTTCTCTGAGCATTATAGTGAGCTATCCAAGCGTTAGTATTACTGAGAAGAGGGTCGACGAATTTCCCACCTCCATCAGAACGCCGTCACTTAGCGTCAGATCATCGGAAAAAGTTATAACTACGGCGGTGCACCACGCCGGCAACCAGATGAAGGTGGTAGACGAAAAAGTGAGCAGGTCATCGGTACCTACGAAGTACGTAACCTATACCAAGACTCTTACCGTGACCATAACGAAGACCACCGTGGTGACTACTTCCGGAGGTCCGCCCAGCACGATGACTATACTCGTGACCAAAACCGAAAAGAGTTACATCATCGACACCGTTACGGAGTACCACACGCTGGTGAAACCCACCAGTATAGTGGAGACCATCACGACCACAGTGCAACCGAGCTTGCACATAACGCCCAGCGTGGAAGTAGCGTCCAACGGACCTGATGAGGATAGCTCCTTGAAGGACTTTATAGTTAAAGATACTGTTATCGCTAAGGATGTGACTTATAACGATGCCGACACCATATTCGTAGTGATGACAGATAAGAACAATGGCGGAGTTGTCAAGATGCCGGCCATCAGCTCTGAGGAGGTCGTGCAAAGAGACGAAATAACCGAAAATGAAGTCAGTAACGTTCTGTTGGGAGGTGTCCTGACGGCGAATCGTCCAACAGTGGATAGTCCGGAACCGGTAGACAGCACAAAGTGTTTACCAGATTGTAAACCTACGAGAAACGAAGTTTGTCAAAAAATTGAGGGAGCCATGAGGTGCATGTGTAGGCCCGGATTCGCGAGGATGTTCCCAGATCGGCCTTGCAATCGTAAGTACAGAACCCTAAACCATATAAAACAACGCGGTTATACGAAAATATTTTTTATTAATATTTATCATATTTTGCAGCAACATATACGTACAGCATCAATGTAACACTGGACCACATACGCAATAAAGAGGTGAGGTACACTTCGGCATTGTCTCTCGAAAACTCTACAGAGTTCGTACGTTTGGCGAGGAAGACGCACGAAGGCGTGGACCGCATGGTCATGCAGTCTGACTTGAGGGATGTTTACCATGGTATTCAGCTCAGATCTTTTGAACCCGGTGCCTCCAGCGGCGTCGTTAGCAGATTTTATTTACAGGTAGGTAGGGTGGTGTTCGCAAAAAAGTTAAATATCATAAAGGGATCATACGGGGGGAGGCATATTTCAAAGTTCTGTGAATTTAGCTATAAGCTTTATTATCTTGTTAATTTTCGTCAATATTGTAAGGTAATTTTTCAACATAATTTCCATTTAACCGAATCAACTAAACCTTTCTCAAAGTAACTTCTCAGCCCACTCATTTATGGCACGTTTTACATAGGTTAAACTTTCAAATTGATCAAGTCATAATGGTTTTTTCCTAATCAAATTGAATTAACTTTTGGGGTTAGGATTGACCACGTTTCGTTAGTTTTTATTATTCGTTTCCAAAAGTTCATCATCATAACAAGCTAATAGCTCTTAAAGTTGACCTGTTGAGTTTGGTAACGCCCAAACAAGAAGCAAGACCTCCTAAACTTGTCATGTACCTTGCGGTATACCGTACTTACGTTTTAATTGAGAGCTACCGCTATTTTTCAAAGAAACTTCCACAGGCGGCAGTAATACTATGTACATAAATACAACTGACGCAGAAGAAATCCAGAAGATGTATAAATAGAATTACTTATATTATAAACGAGAAACGTGTCCAAAGTTGTGGGAATTTAGTCATAATTTTTATTCTTGATCTTCTCTCAATAGCTCAGTGGACGTAATCTACTGTAATCTACGTATCTAGGACGATTTGCCGGCAGAAAATCCTCCTTGTACCTCGAACCGCCCAGTCTTCCATTTTACCCTGGATTTATAATTATTCCTCAAAATATGGCCAAAATCCCAAATTTTCATTTATATCAATATAAGTACTTGGCAGTTTATTTTGTAATATACTTCTTGGTAAGTAATTTGGCCCGTCCAAGATATGAGAATTTTTCAATAAATCCAAATTTCAAATGTTTAAATTCGTTTTTCTAGGGCCTAGGAAATCATACACACGAACAAAAGCACCAAATATACGCTTATCTGTGGGCTATACTTTATTTGATAATTAAACTGAGGATAAATGTGCCCCAAACCTCTATGGCACATTTCATTTCAGCAGAAGGATTCCAAGTTTCTGCCAGTCTGTGTCCCAAATAGACACTTTGCTTTACTTATCACAATTTACTTGATTTTTGCGACATTAAGGTGCAAATCGTACTTACAGACTATACGGAGTTCACTAGTTCTTGCAAGCCAGCAATATTATTTACTATCAGTACTGTGTAGTCAGCGTATTAAATGCCTTTCTTAAGTGATTTTTAATTTTGTAATTGCAGTGTAAATTCTATTATTTATGTTTCCATTCCAAACTTTAAAAGATTACTTTTGGTCCAAAGCAAATATGAGGAAAATATACATTCTATTTTTTTATATTATATGTAAATGGCGCTAGTTACTTTTTACTTACTGTTTTGTTGTTTTATTGAAAATTATAATGATTGATAGATATGAAAAATACATCGATTAAGTATATGGTATTCGAAATATTTGCATAGTAATACAATAATTTTCCCAGGATCCTTCAAAAAAATGTTATTTTATTTAATTCCATTTATTTTCTTCAGAGACAGAAGTTGTTTTTGGCATTTACACAGCCGTAAAACATCTACTTTTTTCTCTAAACATCACTGGCCACATATCAAAATTTCTTAAGAAATATAATATTCAACTCAGATTTACCACTTGCCCAAAATTGTCTTAACATTTTCGATGCATCAAAGGCACAATTCCGTTGGACATTCTAGGAGTTTATACCATTCCATGCATATGCGGCACAGATTACACTGAAGAAACAGGACAAAAAAATATCAACTACCACTACCAGTACCACAGAAAAATTCGAGAATCCATCAGTTATCCGTGACAATGCTCATTCCCCTCCCTTAGCTTCGCCACCTCCTCAAACAATATGTAAGCAGATACAACGTCGAACGCAAACATAGAGGAGGATTTCAGAAGATGTGTAAATCAACTAAAGTGACTAGCTAAACTAACCAACCAAATTAAATGAACTACATTTTCCAACATCAATATATCAAAATTAAGACAGTTCACAATCGACATTGTTCTATAAGTTCTATAAGCTACGTCGACTAGTCTGCAGCTTAATATATCACATAAATTTGACAAATTATTAAAATTAGAACCCGTTTTTTTTATAGGGGAACTTTTTAACAGGTATTTAAATAAATATCTTAAATCTAAACCTCTCGGTGGATACTCACCGTTGAACACTAGGTATTTTTGTACAAGATCAACCTCCCAACTATTGCAAGAGTCGATCACGTAAGCAACTAGTAATCAAGCTTAGATCGGACCAGGCCTAAAAATCATTGCTAAAAGATTTACAATTATGCGCAATAAAACCAATTGTGTCAATATGTGATTCATGAACGAAAGTTTTGACCGAAATGCTCTCCCAGATCTTTAGATAGACAGAACATAGAGATCTAGTGGATCAATAATTTCATCTTTTTGACTAAAACTCAGAACCTTCCACTTATATTAAGGTGTAAATCGTTGGAGGTACACCAATATATCAATTGCACTTTGCGATCAGCAACACTGGAAATGAAGGAATACATTTTCCTTCGCACATAGCAAGGCGATTAGGAAGATTAGAAACAATGGTGGTCCTAAATTAGAACCCTGTGCCATTATATTCAATGTAGTAGACGCATGGTGTTCTGCCGCTCAAGTAATTTGGCAGAAACATTATGTCTCTACCTCATCGGAATGACTTTTGGTGTCATGTATGTTAAAGGAGGTGTATTTGAGGTCTTTAGTTTTTATGAGCTTTAATTTCAAAATTGTATTTTATTTAGTTGTCTGACAACACCGACGAACGACGCCTGGAGGACATTCTGCGAAAGTACTTGAGGAACAGCAACTACAGTTTGGGAGGTACAGATGTGTTCACGTCCTCCCGGTCGTCGGATAGCCTCAAAGCGGAAGATTTTAATGAATGCTACGATCCATCGTTCCAAGATTGCTCGAAGAACGCGCACTGCTTCAATCTCAGAGGTACCTACACCTGTTCTTGCAAGGAAGGCTATTCGGGTACGACCGCATTTCATCGGTGAACATTTCACCATTGACCTTGGTCGATTTAACTTTTAGATTTATCCGAAAATATGCTGTATCCCGGTCGGATATGTAGCGCGGAAAGGACCGGATGTGAAAAATGCAACTACCACGGTATGTGCTCGGCTAGAAAGTACGACCAGATAGAGTGCGATTGCTTCCACTGGTACGCCGGGGAGAATTGTCACATCAACTTGAAAGGTGAGTATACTTTGTCTCACAGTATGTCGGCTTTTGGCAATAAATAACCAGACCAGACGGTATTTCAAAAGAGAACATAAGGGACCCACTTTTACGTTGTTTTACAAATATAAACATTATTTCAGAGTGTCCAAAAATAATGTTCGATTAATTTACGAGGTGATTGTAAATATGGACATGAGTTCGATACAGGGTGTCAAACTCTTTAAAAAATGGATTTTTAATAAATATCTATAATTGGGTTAAGATCAGGCCTGCTTGCTGACCAATCTGTAGTTTCAAGTCCCAGCCTCATTAAGATAATTTTACACAATCCTAGCAACACGCGGTCGAGCGTTACCTTGCTATCTACCAAATGACTGGTTACTCTATCCGTGTTCACTAATCAATAACATATTTCACTCTTGAACGGTCCCCTCATCTTGGGGTCAAGTGCTGTTCTCCATGGTTCACAAAAGATACAGCTTTGATGATCCCACAAATTACCACCCTATCGCGCTCGTTAGTTGCACCACAAAACTATTTTGTTCGAATTTTGTCAAAAAGACTCTTGGACGGGGCAGAAAGAACACACGTAATTTCCAAGTCTCAGTCTGGTTGTAGTTCTGGTCGCTGTTGTATATCGACAACATTTATGTTTTATCCTCGGTGATTTAACTCCTTAGACTCCTTTAACTCCTTAGACTTAGACTGACTAAAAAAAAGGTTTTTGTAGGTTTCGTTGATTTTAAACGCGCTTTTGATTCGATCTCTCATACTTTACTTTGGATCAAGCTGTATTGGACTGGCGTTAGTTTTATGTATATTTCAATAATCAACAGACTTTATGAAATAGAGACAGTAAAAATTAAAGCCAAGGATGTTTTCACTAAAATGTTCGATACCACTGAAGGTGTTCTTCGCTTAGCGCTTTACTTCTTTCCCTTTTTTTGCGGATATTAGTTTTCAAGGCCACTCTATTGACGCATTTCATAGCCTCAACTTACTGGCCTACGCAGACGATGTCGTTTAATTAGCTGAATCAGAGACTCGATTGCAAAAAATATTTACTTGTCTGGTCAGGTACCCAACCGAAAAAAGTCAAAAGGTTGAATTACCTTGGTTGACATTTTCTTCTTCCTTTAGAAAAATGGCCGACACTTCAGTTTCTTTCTTATTTTACTTCAAGTGCTATGGTTTGCCTTGAAACAGGTTCCCCACATTTAATTTACCTAACCTTAAAATCTTGTCTCACCTTTCTTGTGAAAGTCTTAAGAATGGACGAGACTGTGTCTTGACGGTTAGCTGTTCAATAACAGAAGGCACGCCAAATTCCACTGCGCGTCAGATTAGAGAGCTGTTTCTTGAGTTGGGTTATGGTGAGTGGTGCGGCAATCCATCCTATATCACTCTAAGACGGAAAAGAATGTTTTAAATCAAAACTTTTTGAAGCAGATATCAACTATGCGGATGGTTCGCGAATTTTAAGAATTATCGCATACTTAGATTGAATAATAACATTTTTCTGAAATTCTCCTGTAAAGACTACGTTTACTTCATTAAACCTAATCAGATTTGCTCCGTATGTAACAATAATCGATTGTAAACAATGTACCACCTTCCATTAACTTGATCAATATAAAATACTTTCTTAGAAATGAGTAAAACTATAATTTGGAATCACATGCTAATAGATCACTATTAGGTTACTATTTTAATTTTTTAGGCTTATATAATGTCTGATATGAATTTTTGTTGTATAAATGTAATTTCTGATAAACAACAAATAATAATAAAAATATATACATATATCAGAGTTGCAGAGGCAAAAACTGGTTTCATCTGACCGAGAGAACTCTTTCTCATCAGTCTTCATCAGTCGAATCAATGTGGTCTGCTAGCAAAATTTAATCTTTCTCTGCGATGCTTTGAGTCTCTGGTCGTCGCGCTGGGTAGCTAGGGCTCAACGAACAGTATTAGTTGAAATGCTGAGTCCACCTGCTTTCTGCAGCATTCTTCCTGGAATCGTTGTTTTGAATAAGAGACTTTTAAAAAACAATCACACTTTTCCATTGCAACATTTTTGCCCTACAAATCGACATTATAAAAATTTAAGTATGATGTTTTGGTTTTGCATGCCCACCATCAACACCATTTTTTTTTATTACAAACCTGCATTTTTTATTGAATATTTTGAATGTGCTTGTCATTCTGAAAATGCATGTATCACTCGTAATGGTCTACTAAATAATAACTCCCTAAAATTAACAATAAACAAAAATTGACACAATATTGGAGCCAACAAAAATTTTGTGTTTGTGGTATTGTTCATATGAACACCTGCTTAATTTTTTTTAAAATGCCAAGACTTATATACTTACATACTTATATATTGTGTGGTTGTCTTATGTTCAATAAATTAAGATGTAAAATTACACCCCTTTTTAAAAAACCATACTACGCTTTTTTTTTAAGTAAAAATGGTTATCAAAACAATTCTTGACTGCCACATATTGTTTGTAAAGTATGTGAAGAATTTTTAAGACATTGAAATAATGGAACCAGGCGATCCGAACCTTTTGGAATGGATATGAAGAAAGTCAACAAATCACCATGATGAGTGTTATTTCTGCATGTGCCATGTTCGTGTATATAATGCTAAAAATTTGAAAAACATTGCCGGAATAACTGATAATCCAGCCAATTTAGAAACTTAATGACACACTCAGAACCTAATGACTTAGCGAGAGATTTAGGTTTACCTAAGGATCTTTGAGACATTTTAGCATATAGACTTCTATCTATCCCCGCAAAATTGTCTTACGACCGTTGCAAATTAAATTCGGGCTGACGGAATATGTAGAAAATTTTCCGCTGTTTCAGATGCAAAATTTAAGGAAAAAATTTTTGTAGATCCTCAAATAAAACGATTAAGGCAAAACTAAAATAATCGAATATATACTGATGTTTTCTAGGAAGCAACAAATACCCAACATTGTAGAAAACATGTCGATGGACTTTACCATTGTTTTATATTTTCTAATTCGGTTTTTGTTCTTGCAATAATAAAAATATTGCTTCAATCAATCGAGAGTTTCATTTATTCATTATTTAATGTTGATAAAGGACCTTGTAGAGGAAAATGCTTTTCAGATTTAAATTTAGAAGTGCTTTGAAAAGTTTAAGAATTGTATGTCTGTGTAACTCTATTATTCCACAAGCCTATCCAAACATTAAAGAACGCTATGTTCTCACTTTTTGATGTTGGATTCTCTTTGGACCAGTAATGTACAAAGTGGATAATTACATGCAACAATAAAACGTATCTTGTAATTAACAACTATGTCAAGACTGTTTGACCTTATTTTTTTATGTAAATATGGCTTAATGTCAATTTCAAGTTTAGTTTCTTCCTTATTCTACTTCAAGTGCTATGCTCCGCCTTGAAACAGGTTCCACACATTTAATTTACCTAACCTTTAAATCTTGCGTCACCTTTCTTATGAAAGTGTTAAGAATGGACGAGACTGTGTTTTGACCGTTAGCTGTCTCTGTTCAATAACATGAGACTAAGAAATGAGTAAATGTTAAACCATAATTTGTATCTCTGTATTTGGAATCACATGCTGATAGATCTTTATTAAGTTACTATTTGCTTTGTTAGGGTTATGTAAACAACAAATAATAATAAAAATATATACGTATATCAGAGTTGTAGAGGCAAAATCTTACCAATTAATGTGATCTGCTAGCAAACTTTAACCTTTCTCTGCGATGCTTTGGGTCTTTCGTTGTCGCGCTGGGTATCTAGGGCTCAACGAACAGTATCAGTTGAAATGCTGAGTCCATATGATTTCTGTAGCTGTGTCTGCAGCATTCTTCATGGAATCGTTGTGTTGAATAAGAGACTTCTAAAAAAAATCTTCACCTGGTGCAGTTATGCGATGTCCGTCTTCTTATATGCTGACCTGTCTCCCTGTAATGTTCGATTATACGGGAAACGGATGTATGTATGCGGTACACCAAATCCCTATACAATAAAATGACTGACCAGGCAAACTCTTCGGCTGTAAAATTTCTAAATTGGCTTTCCGTACTACATCGTACCTCACCAATGTAAATTTTCAGTACAAATGATAAATTTTAGCAGTAAAACTGATCTATTACTTTCCTGAACTCCAACAAAACAAAAATAAGATGAACAGACTTCAGTAAAAATATATTTCAAATCTATGTATGGCAGCTTGCAATAAAAACGAATGTTTTCATTTTTATATGGATTTCCAAAAATATTTTCTTTTTGTTTAATTTTTAGTGGTGCATCAATTTTGCTGGTCAGTGTATATACCACCTCCACCTCTTTCTAATTAGCATTGTGTCTTCTTCCTCTTGTATCCAAGTTCTTGGTGGCTTTCTTCTTTTTCTTCTACCTTAAGTAGTTTAATTGGTGCTGTCGATCCTTTCTACAGTGACTCTAAGTTTCTAATTTATCAAGTATCGCTCCTTCTGCTTCCATGTTTTGTCGGATTCGCTCATTTATTATGTGTTCGAGTAGTGAGATTCCGCTACTTCTCCACCCATCCCGTCACATTTTCTTCTCCGGGTTATCAACGTTCTTCCAAGTATATCTACTATACTGCAGGAGCTAAAATACAGCCCCGCTCGAGATCCTTTGTTACTTCAAATTTCCTCCATATTCGTCCATAGCTTGAGCAATAGAATTGTGTTCTAGGCCTTGTAAGTATTGATGAAGGTAAGATATATACTTATACTTATCAAAAACTCATCTCAATCTTCTGTCAGGAGGTCTCGCTAACATTTTATCCATTGGTCTGAACTTATTCGACTTTTTCTTGCCGTATCTTTGTTATGAGTTCACAATATATTTTTGATAGACTGTTTGTTTCTTACTCATTGCTCTACTATTTTATCCCACCAGACCACATTTTTACTTTTTTGTTTACAGTGGTATTTTTCTTCCGAAGCTTCGTTAGCGGCCTCATGATTGATCTTTTATCGTGTTGGTACAAATTATCTGCCCAATTGTCATGAACTTGAGAAGGTCTCTGAGAAGGTCTTAGTATATAAAGAAATAGAGCAGAATCGGCCATCTAAATTATATTTGATATATTTTCATCATTCTTATTCATCATTCTTATTTTTTATGTAGAAGAAAGATGTTTATTAGAAAGTGAAAGTGTATCCGTATAATTAAATTTATGCACAGGTTGTCGCAAATTTGAGAATAACTATTAGAATCTTGGAAAACGTAAAAGTTACGAAATTGCTTAAATAGTTGCAAAGTTAGGTATTTTGGTGCTTAATTTAAAACCGTTTCGGCATTAAGATTGATTTGAGATAAGAGATGATTTGTTTCGGAGATATCCGGAAAAAAGCGAATACCAGCAATTTCATTGGAAATTACACTTTTCCATTGTAACTTTTTCCTCCCTACAAATCGACATTATCAACTACATTTTTTTTAATACAAACCTGTATTTTTTACTGAATATTTTGAATGAGCTTGTCATTCTGAAAATGCATGTATCACTCGTAATAGGCTACTAAATAATAACTCCCTAAAATTAAACAAATAAACAAACCAATCTATTTTAAAACGGTTCTAAATTGAGCATCAAAATGTGCAACTTTGCCTCTATTTAACTAGTTTAATATCTCTTACGATTTCCGGGATCCCAATAGCCTCCCTCGAATTTGGAACATACTGTATGTAGACAAAGCTTTATTGGTACCAATTAGTAAGATAAAAAAGATAAAAAGTTTAAAATTAGGTATGATTTACTAATATTAGGGATTATTTTTGATTTGTTAGAGGTCTAACTTTTTGTGCAAATATCTGGGAAACCACTCACACGTGACCTACTATCTTAGTGGTATTTGGGTGATTATCTGTTTGCTGAAAACTATATCCAAGCCTTATGTGCTTATTGCTTAATATTTATTGCAAATAAATCAATAAATAAAACCATGCGCTATAATTTATTGTCATTGCAGCTTTGCTGATAGCGTTGGTAACTCTTGGCACTATTCTGTTCGCTCTACTGCTGGTCTGTGTCATAATGACCTGGGTCAAAAAGAAGCCGCAGAAATCGAGCCCCGGTATGACGTTTCTGCCGCAGAAGATGGGAAACACCAGAGGCGGAGCCGCACTGGACCGCAGAGCTATGATAGAAGATACCAGCTCGGAGGACAGCAGAAGCGAGACTAACGCGTTACCGCCCTACGTGCAACAGGTATGCTTTTTTAAATAGTACATCACGACGCCTGTGAACAAAAGCTGCTTGCTAGATAATGGGGTTCACGTTTGCGACACTCTCCAAAATACCGACTGATCTAAAAGTGTTCATTATTGGTAAATTTGTTATGAGTAGAGATACAAAATCGGTTAAATTAGCAAACTTAATGTTTGAATGTTTAGTTTTATTAATTCATTATAATAATAAGAACACCAATTTCCACGTCTTTATTTATTATAAAAATTTCTTTTAGCAAGAACCGTTTCATTATTTCTAGAGATTCGATTAAAGCGTAAAAAAAATTGTTCAAAGAAGGCTGTGCAAAATAATGATAATCATGCTAAATAGAAAACTGGTCGTCAAAAACTTAATTTTAATGTGTTAATTAAGATTCTTTATTTAGTGCACCACATTTTCTTAAAAATACACCAGAGGGAGGCGTACGAAATTTCACATGTCCATGTTGGCAGACATTGATGGCAAGCTACTGAGTACTCTTAAAATAAAAATTATTCTTTATTTTTTCAATCCTATGTACGGTTTTCGCTTAAAAATAAATAATTTGTTTACTTAAGTAATTGCCTATCTGAGTTGTTAAAATACTTCACAAAATCGAAGTACGAAGTACGTAAATTCTGGGGTGTATTTTTGAGATCTTTATAATTATTTCTTATCATTGTAGTAGGCTGTGTTTGTAAGAATTATTAATTCTGTTGTTAAGGCGGTTGTTTGACATCCGTTTTTAAATTCAGTTCTTCGCGTCTTATTAATTTGCCGTTTAAAATATCCGAACATTGTTTTTTTTAAAAAAGAATGGTCGAGTTTACTATTGAGGCGTTGGCAAATCAAATCAAATTTATAATCCAAAAAATCATCGTTATTGGCGAAGAAAAAATTTATTGCTAATACATCCCCGAGGTTCACAAGTTCGTTTCAGCTTTAACATTTGGTGCAGTATAAGTATTAATAATTGTTGGTTCATATTTTTACAACGGCACGCTGACCGATGAGCAGTTGCAATTATTACTAAAATTCTGAATGGTTTTCTAGATGACCTTAAAGAATATTTAGAATCTCCATTTTTTTGCAAAATTTGGAATTTAGTTTTCTTCCTACAGCTCTATTTCACCAATCGAATGTCTCCCTTTCTGAATAACTGAACTTAATATTTCTGAAGGTGGGAGGCAAACATCGTTATTAAACTCGAAAACTTAGTGGTGTTAGCCCTGTTCTACAGACGTTGTACTATGTTTATTGTGATTGCCAAGGGTTCCGAGAGTGGCAAGTAGTTGACCTACCCTTAGCAATTAAAATTGGTTAGTAAAATTAAGCTTTCTAAAAATGAGAAAATATTTTTCAATGTGTTCAAAGCTCATCGTTACCAATACTCAACATTCAAAATTGTGAACAACATTGAAGGAATTTCATTTTCGTAACGAAAAAACTTAAAACAGCATTTTATTCTAAACGGAAATCAAACCATTTCATTTTTTCAGTGTAACAGCCAAAAAGGTATTTTTTAAAAAGTGGTCCAGAAAAATTCGTCTTCTATTGATAGTAAAAAAAAAATCTGGAGTAGATGAGGAATGAAAAAATTAAAAGTAGTTATAAATAAAATATGTAACACAGAAACTCAGAGAAAAAAAAACAGAAAAATAACAAAAAAAAGGAGAGGAATTACTACTTCTCCTCTCCTGCACTGGATTGGCTAGGGGAGATGCAACAATGTGCAACAAGAACAAAGGAAGCCGATGTAGATAAATAAAGTTAAATAATTCTTTTTTTTTCAATTTTCTTCCTTTTCTTTTTTGTCCCATATGATGTGTTGATATGTTACAAATATTGTTGTCCACTGAGCAGTTTTATATGTTCAGAAAATTTCTTGCCTTTTTAATTTTTTTTAATTAATTTGTAATTCATTCAAAAAAATTTCATCATTCATTCGCTTAAGTTGAAAAACGTCTTCGGACAAAATTTTTTGTTGGCGGAATAGCATCAAAATTAAATATAACAGTACTTTGTCTTCCGCCATGTCACTGTGAATTAAACCTCATAGATTTGGTATGGGCGCAAGTAAAACAGTTTGTAGCAAAGCATAATACAAATGAAGAATGCTGAAACCCTCTTGCAAAGGGTGATTGAGACCAAATAATGTGGGAAACATGATGAACAAAAAATTTCAAATTTTAGTATTATATTATTCATCATTCTATATAAATTTGTCATACCTCAATTAACTGTCCATCTCTGTAACTATAGTCATGTATAGTAATTATTTTATTGTACAAAGAAACCACAGGCTGCTGTAATACTCTTTACAAATCGTCTGGATTAGTCCTCCTCTTCCTGTTGGCTTCTTCAAAGCTTAACTGAAATGTCTCATATTCTACTGTGTACTTACTTGCTTATGTACAGATTTTTTAATCTCCCTTTCACTAAGTTAAATCTGTACTTACTGGTCGCAAATCATTATGGTTACACATTTTTTTTCCCAGAAGCCGGCGAAGCCGATCAAGGGCGCCCTCAAGAAAGTCTCGAGGGTATCGATGACCAGCATCGAGCAAGGAGAACCCGGCGTGATCTTTCCCGATCAGAAAGATCGTTCCCTAACTGTTATGATACCGAGGGCCAAGTACCATCCTGCCCCTCCCACCTCACCGATACTTAACTACACCTCATTCGACGCGAGAAAACCGAGCGTTCCTTCCGTAAACAACGAAGCGAAGCTGCTGAGTTACTTAGACGCAGGACCCTCACCGAAAAAGGTATAATCCCAACGAATTATAGTGGAGTAAAAAGCCCTGCAAAAAAAATTGAAAAAAATTAATAGACTTAGAACCAGATGAAACCTGCCTGAAATCATTAGTTTTTTTTTGTGGTACCGAGTTTTGTAAAATCGAAGAAACTGGCAAAATGCTGAAATTTAAAAAAATACTTCCTATCATGTACCTTCCAGTAACTCCTAAAATATTGAAAATATCACGATGATTTTTTGTTTACTTGAAGAGCATACATAAACGATGATAACAACTGCTAAATAATTTTCAGATTTGTTATTTCCCATTTTTTGGAACTTTTGTATTGAAATTGTCAGTAATCGAGAAACTTTTTTAATTGGAAAATTGAATTGGAATAAATGAATGGGATTGGGATAAAACATATGAGAAAATTTAAAAAAAACGCAGCCTTTTATCCGCAATAGTATTGAAAACATATGTGTTGTGTTTAGGAAACAAAGAGTCATAAGCCGATGATTAGGAAAATCAAGATAGTATAGACGTAATATTTATAACCTAATGAACATTTCTATTCCTCAATTTCTCCATAGTCAAAATACATTGTTTTCAAAATCATTTAGAAATCTTCATAAAAAGATTCCGCTGTGCTTATTATAGCTTTGTTGCTACAGAATTTGCAATTACATATTTATTTGGGTTATCAAATTTTGTATAATGTACATGACTGAAATACCAAATTTTCAGTTGATATATGCATCTAAAATGATTAGAAAAAAAACATTATAGTATGGGACTAACATGTACCCATGTTTATTAAATTTATGGAAAATATTTTCAATTTCAGTTTTTTATTTAGAAACTGTCAGTTTTATGAAATAATTGCAGTAGACATAAAAGTTTTTGATAAACCCGTCTATCAAAATTTATTTTTTGTGTCATTGCGTAAGTTTTTCCTTATATTCAATGTATTAACCAATAACGACGATATTCAGTTTAAAAAAATATGTATCTGTGCGGCGGTGCCATATATAAACAAAAAAGGAAATATTTTCTTCTCTTCCTCCTCCAGTCGGAAGCCAAACGGAAGTTCTCGAATTCGATTTCCGAATCTTATGTCGTCGACGAGCAGACGAGTTCCAGGAAAACTTCTGGGGCACTGGTGTCCGCCGGATTCCAGGTATCTGCCACGGTTTCGAACCTGACGAATACGATGTGCACCTTGGGTACCGCGTGCAGTACCGAAGCGGACAGGAGTGAGAACGCTACCTTAAAGATCAGCGCCGATCTTCTGTCGAGCACGGATTCGCAATTTCACGGTCTGCTCAGGAAAGACTCTTTAATGTAAGTCGAACAACTCAACTATTTTTTTAATGGTAACTGTTACGTTTTGATTACTCCTATAGCATTTTCTGATTACCATGTCACCTGTGCATAAAAAGTGCTCGAAGTAATTTAGTTTTCGTTTTACCTTGTTTTTGAGAGGAAACTGTAACGTCATAAGGTTTTAAGGATGCCTTATTGTCTCTATTAGTAGTTCCTAAACAAAAAAAAATTGTTTGACCAGTCTACGAGAGATTAAGAGCACATTAAGAGCTCAGATTTTGATCGCCTAATAGAAGTAGGGGATAGTTTTTGTTATTGTGCTTTTTTGACAATTTTGTTATTGCCCCCTATACTTTACTTCTCGGAAGGCGAGCCCTGCTGACAGCGTTACGTTTATATCGCTGATCGAGATTATTAGATCACCGAGGTCGCACATAATTTAAAAAAACACCCAGACGCTATTAATAATTTTTACAATTATTGTAAAAAAATTTAACCTACAGAGCAATGCCTTAAACGAAGAGATCTAATGACGCTCGCCGAAATAAAATACAATTCCACCACCGCTAGGGGTACTTTTTGAGTTAGTACCTTTTTGGCAAACTCACCCTTAATAAAAAAAAGGGGTTTGTAGAAAAACGAAATTTCGTAGTGCCTATTTAGCACTACGGAGTTGGATGCGGGGCGAGAAATGAATGTGACGTTTTTTTTCTTTGAGAGCCGAAAAAAGTGATCGCTGTCGCGGTCGGGATTCGATCTTCGAACATGGGATCACCTCGTTTATGCGCGTTGACCCGTTTCGCGTGCACGCTACGTTAGTCGAGCTTAGCCGAGCCTAGCAGACGACGACTCGTTTATTTCGCATCGGCGACGATCGACGACCTTTTATTAGTGGAGCTGTTGAACAGAGGAGCATTTTTTGGGTTATTGGGTATTGTGTTTTTTTTTCGGCGTGCATCATTAAGCCTCAGTGTTCTTTAAGTTAAGAATTTTTATAATAATTGAAACAATTATTAACAGCGTCTGGATGCTTTATTTACATAGATTATGCGCGACCTCGGTGACCTAATAATCTCGATCCGCGATATAAACGTAACGCTATTGGCCGCTCGCTTTACGCGACGTAAAGTACAGGGGGCAAAAAAAATTTGTCAAAAAAGCACAATGACAAAAACTACCCCTTACCCCTATTAGGGGTGACATCTGGCGATCAAAGCCTAAGATATTATTGTGTCACATCTCTCGTAGATTGGTCAAACTATTATTTTTTTTTTTTTGGTTAGGAATCTGTAAATTTGCAATCTCAGAATCTCCCCTAGGGGACGGGGGATGTAGAAGTTAGGAAAAGATACTACTTCTATTATTTACGCATCTGATGGACCTTGAATAACAATATAAATAAATAAATCTTCCCAAGTTTTTCAAGGTGATTCTTTTAAAATTAATTGCCATTTATTTGCATGTTACATTGAATGTTAGTTTGGTTTATAACCCAAAACATCTGAAACATAGTGGTACTTCCTAACGTGGACGGATCACCTTCTAAAGAATTTCTCGAATTTTAGTGATGATGGTACGGACAGCAACAGCAATTGGCTTGACGTACCCCGAATAACGTAAGTATAATGCAAAAAGGAATCGTAGTTGCTTGAGAATGGACAAAATAGGCCTTTAAAAATTGGGTTGGAGCCATAGGAGACCACGATTACCATTTTAAAAATTGTTTCATAAAAATCATAAAAATATGTTTATGTACATACCTATCTTTGAATTACTGCGCGAGAGCGTGTGGGAGATTCCATTGAGCATTTCTGGCTAAAAGGTTCTTAGATTAGCTACTCTTTCCTTGTCAAAGTGCGATTAGAAGTAGAGCATTCTTGGTACCAATACGCTAACAAGACGAACCAATTTTGTTGGCAAATTCCTAAAAGTATTGTTAAAATAGTACGGATTCATTGCCTAGGGAATTTCTTAGTCGTTATTGGTTGGTTTGTTGGTTATTGATTTTCGCTAGCTAGCCACCTAGGACGTCTCCTGGGGTAGGTAGGAGCCATTGACTTTCAAAATAGTTTATAGGAATAGGACTAAATGAACCAAATGAAGCGATATCTCCTGCACAAATGGAAATGAAAAATATTATCTGTCCAGTAGATAAGCAAAGCCGGTTCCGGAGTAAAATTTCGATAAATCGTTATGTGGCTCCACTTAAAGATAAAGAATGGAGACTGGAAATAATAGACAATAAGATGTATTAAGAATTGTTGAGCAAAATTAATCGTTTCATTAATAAATTTGATTCAATGCGATATACGCCAGGTTTCGGGCTTTACCTATAAATCTAATGGTAGTTTCAAAAATTTAAAAAAAAAACCTCTGAAGCAAAAAAAAAACAAAGAAAATTTCCAGAAATTGCCACCGAAACAAGCTCTGACGTCGCACCGCATACAAATAACGCAACTAGCAAAGACCTTATATGTGAACGGGTATCAAACGTAGTGACATTTATTCAAGTGGCTACAAACAATAGTTTGCATAAAATACAGTTTTGCGGCGTTTCCAGCCTTTTTGTAAATTCAAAAATGGTTTTTTCGGTTGCAAAAATCATCAGTTATAATGTGAATATTGTTTCTCAAAAACGTGTGTTTGTCTGATCTTTTCTTTTAAATAAAACTTCCCACAAAGGCCACCCAAAAATAAAATATAGGTTTTAGTTTAATAAGGCAAAAACAAGTCAGATTTTCTGGAAAAAAGTCAGAATTGGTGCCTAGTAAGTCCGAATTTTTGACTTAAGAGAGAATTTCTGAAAAATAGATACTAATTTCTGGAAAAAAAGTCAATATTTCTCATTTCTGAAACTTCCTGTAAGGGGCAGTGCCGATTGAAACTTGAAATATACAGGGTGAAACATAAAAAATGGACAACCTATAATCCGGAAGTACTACACTCTAAAGTATTATTAAATTCGAAAATTTTATCTGGAATGTTTTATTACTATTAGCAAAATTTATCTTTTAAATATTCATAAGAAAAAAAAAGTAATTAAACTTCTACAGACTAAGACTTTCTAGACAAGAGTATCTTTTATACGAAAAATTAAATTAATTCCCTTTTAGATTTTCATCATGTTTAAACCATAACGACACAGATAAAACAATATATGATTCGATTTATATAAATGTAATGTGGACCAACTTCGAAATAAAAAAACAACCATTTTTATTATTATACTATAAAACCTTTCTCACTTAATGACAAAGTGCAGAATCTAGTTTAAATTTGAAACGAAGGCGAAACAGAGATATTTTGTATGAGGCATGTTGAGCTCAATCATAATTTTTTGGTCTCCTTACCAGAAAGTTATGTAAGACGCTCTGACTTATTTTTTACAAATTCTGACTTAATTTTTAGAAATTCTGACTTGTTTCTCAAAACTTCTACCTCAAGTTAGAAATTACTAACAATAATTCTAACTTAACACGTTTTACCTACTAGGACGACTTATTGTACATTACATTACATTGTTGCTTTTGCACCCCTGATTTCACTTCCGTATACATAAACATGTTCAATGGAGATCAATTGTGTTTGGAAGGTTTGACAAATTCTTCGGTGACCATAACTCACTTAATAACTGATCACATATTAGGCTGTTTCTACGCGAAGTAACTTCACCGCCAATGATCGTTTCGTCATCACTTTCAATTTTGGAGCTGTTGCCTGTTTTTATAAACTCTGTTCATAGATATAAGAAAGTGACTAACTGATAAGAGTTAAGGAAAGACCCGGGCAAGCTGTAAGAATGAAATATGGCCGAACAGGTCCGTACTTTGCTTAGAATTTAATTATTTGGGGTTTTGTTAGGAAATATACTAAACAATATTTATTTATTTATGTACGTATTTATGTTTAAATCTAAAATAAAATTGCAAATTATATTTATTACCTACTTAAATTAATTACTTACAAATTTTTCACATAGTATATCAGTATCACTATCGTTATCATCGCCTGTTCTAATTATTATTTGTTCTATATTATTTGCAATATGGACATGTTCAATGGGAATAAATATACAGTGGTAAGGTGGAAGCCTTAAAACTGTATGCCGTAGATTTTTTGCATAATTATCACAGACTCAATTAATTGCTTTTTGGTATAATCTTCGTGAAAATATATGTCGTTATTATACATGTAGTTTTGGATTGTTGCTTTTGTGTCACATGAGGAAGGGGTTTTGGTCAACTGTCTACTGTGATAACTTGCATTGTCCATTACAATGACGCTATTAGGAGGAATGTATGGAACTAGTTTGTTTTTAAACCAACTTTCAAATAAATCAGCGCTGGTGTTTTCATGGTAATCCAGAGAAGAATCTTTAATATTTTTCGCACACAGAGAAAGTTGGAATCCAACCATATTTAGAGCAAGCATGCAAAATAGTTATTCTTTTACCTCCTTTTGATGGCGCGTTTGTTTTATACTTATCAGTTGAGTCAACGCAACCGTTTTCCGGGGTATCATAAGTGTCGAACCAGGTTTCATCCAGGTAAAAAATTGACCTTTGTTGTTCTCTGTAAATCCTATTTCTTTCTAGATATTCCAGTCGCCATTTCCGAATTCTAAAAGATTCCATTAAAACTTGTCTTTTGTCAATTTTTTTAAATCTAAAACCCATGTGTTGAATACACCATAAGGTAATTCTGCCACATTTAACACCGGTTTCATCTTTTTCAAGCCTCCTATAGGCACACTTTGTTCCTCGTATAACTGGTGAATTTTACGCCATATTATATCTTGATCACTTTCATCTACACTCGAGAAAATGTCAGCATCGCTTCTTTTTTTCCTCGCTGAAATGGGATTCACAATTTTCCATACAGTTGACGTTTCGTCAATGTGGCCGTTTCTTCTAAAGATGCTTGCTTGCTGGCACCACGTCCAATGAGAGTTAAATAAACATTGTTTATAACTTCCTTAGTTTCAATAGAATAGGCGGAAGCATCTCCTGAGATACGCTAGACTCGCACATATTTTGCATAATTCGCACACGATTCAACACACGCTGTATTACACAAGAAATAAGAATGATTACTAATAAACTTGAACTAAGTAGTATACCAAACCCAAGAATATTAAACACAGGTAGGTATAAAATTATTTTCTATTACGGACCACAATTTTACTTGAATTTAAATACCGAAACTTTAGGTAACAATCTTGTTACCTACATTGTATGTTAATGACCACCCTTGGATAATGCAATGCAAAAGCAATTGGTCACTTTCTTATATCTATGAACAGACCATACCTGTAATCCGCGGTCGTTACGATTGTTTAATTATGGCAGTGATTCGAGGGCTCATTCATTCGCATTTAGATATAGAATTGTTTTGTTCGCCTTAGGACTGCTTCGGAAGCTCAATCATACGACGAGACAATACCTCCGCCTATGAAATCGTTCAGAGGCGACTACGATTCGAAATCGTCACAGCAACACAACGATGTAAGTTACGCAAAACTCTGTTTTAAAATACCGGCTGGTCAAATATGCTTGCAGCCATTGTATTTAAAGTAAATATACTAAATGATAATAAAAACCCTATCCCCATATCTTATTCCTAACCTATATCCAAGAAAAAAAATTAACTACCATAAAATTTTGAAAAAAAAAAACTTTATTTCACCGGTTTCTATCTGATTTATTTGTCTGGTCTCAATATTTAATGCCAAATTTCAACATTTTCCCAATAAAAAGTATTTTTGGTTTGAACATTTTTAAGAAGACGTGTAAACAGAATTTGAAGAATAGGCTAGCGAGGAAAAGAAATGCCTAAAATAAACTTTTAAATAAAAATTTCAATTATACTGATACAGACAGTTTATTTGTTGTAATGTACAAAGAACTGAAATATAGTACAATATTATTTAATATGGTACAGTTGCAAACCTTAGTTGTTGCATTATCAAAAGCATAAAACCGTTAAAACTTTATTTCCAAATGACGAAGCTGTCGAATCGATTGCGGTACGTTTGTTTTCAAAATACTACTTTAACCTACTTACAGGAATGAAGAACATGGTTTTGAGTGAAAAATAAAACAAAGAGGGGTTAAGATTGGTTAATAAAAAGTTTAAAATGACTTTGGACATTTTAAATGCAACGAACAATAAAGATACGATAAGTGCAGAATAGAATTTAGAAAATTATAAAAAAAGAATCAAGTATGATTTTTGAAATACTGTGCAAACAGTGCCAACTGGGTTTGTATGGTTTGATTCTTTGTTGGTTTTCTTTCAACTTAGACTTGAAGTTCGATGTTCCCTAAACGATCCTACACTAATTTTGCATCCTAAAAGGATATGCACTATGTTTTAGTCTTAGCATTTAATAGCTATAAAATTCTGCTTTTTTTTAGGAGGCAAACACTATGGCCGAACGCGATTTAGGGTCGACGTTTTTACTTCCCCATACGCACTTGTACAAACCTGACAGGGTAAGTTAATATCGAATCGCACCAACATTTTAACTTTAATGAAGAATTTGTCTTAAAGTTTTAAACGCACCGAATATCGATGACTTAAGGAAATACTAAAAAAATATTTCCGAAAAATTATAAAATATGAGCAAAGCTATATTTCATCTCAATCGTTGGACATTTAAAAAAAATGTTTGTCCTATTTATCGGACATACGATGTCTGCGTTTATAAAATGAGACAGTCAATACAAAACAATGACCAGGGCCTACTATCTATTCTAGTTTGAGTAGTTCTAAAATCCATTTCAAAGCAATTGCTTTGCTATTGATTTCATTGCAAAATGGTTTCTTTTTATCCAGTAGTAGTAACAATTTATAAGTGTTGCCTTATATCCTTTTGCTTATCGTGTGGTTTTTCTTACTTTGGATCAAATGGAGTAGTAAGTTTTCTTTTCAATCTCAAAAATTTTAATAAGCAAATTAAACTTTTGTATTTTTTCCCTGTATGTCTTTGAATAATGGATCGCAGAGTTTAAAGAATTATATAATATATTAATTATCATAGAATTTAGTACTGTATTATGTAAATTTAATTAGTTAAAATGTTCTTATTATAATAATAATTGAAATTTGACCAGTAGGTCGGACGTTTACCCTATAAACTGGAAAGTAATTTCGTTTTTCAATTTCCAGGGTTCGGATATATCAGGATTCGAGTCCCTGTAGCAGCGGGTTCAACCAAACTAGCCCCAATCGTCTCAAGTGCCTTATTTATATGTGTGACTGCCGTTAGTACGAATGAGTCTAGTTCATTTTAACGTGTAAAATAACATTGAAACGGTAATATTTTATAATTGGCCATAATTTATTTTTCTGTATATACAAATAGCGATTAAGAAACTCCAGTTTATCGGTAGTTAGGTGTTACTGTACTAATACGTGTTAGGAACCGCTGCGTGTTGTAAATACCGTGTGATATAAATACCCTTAAGTTAATAAGTTGTTAAGTTGTAATATTATTCTGGTCTTAACGAGTAAACACGGACGGTGTAATGACATGTTATAAACGTTTTAAAATTTGACTTTGTAAATTGAGTTATAAGTGCCAAAAATTGTATCACTTTGCGAATCTTGCGCGGCCTATCCCGGTCGTGTTTTATTTTTCTACTAATTCAAAACTATTTTTAAAAATAAACGATGTTAGTCAAACATTTGGTCTTTTTCTCGATAGATTGTAATGAAACGCTTAATATGTATAATGTGAAAAGTATTTGAAGGAAGAGAAGATCAGATGTTTTAATATTGGGTTCAGATGGTTTTAAGTCTCTGTAAGTAAGAGAGTTAACAACCAACGAATTGATCTTACAAAAAAAAATCGTAGGTTTCCGACCCCAATATGGGGGTGTATAGACGTTAAATGGTTGCGAAAATGTTATCATATCATCAACGTAGCGTTTCCTAAGTTTTGGTTTCAGATGGAGAGTGTGGAGAGTAGGTTGCTGCTAACGACAGGTCGATGGGTAATCTTAGTTGGTTGTTAGTTTGTTAGTTAGTTCAGTCACAGTCTCCCAAGGAAAACAAGTTTGAAACCAGTCTCACAATTGTCCCTTGGTCCTTCTTTACATTTTAAACATTACCGGCCACACATCGGAAGTCCAAAAATTTCTCAACATCTTCGATCCATCAAAGACAAGAATGCGTTTAAGACACCAGGAGTCTTACAGTATTTCATACCTATGTAGCAAAAAATAGATTGGAGAAACGGGACGGAAAATATCAACTAGGCAAAAAGAATATGAAAGAGCCTTAAGCACATAAACTCATCAGCAGTGGCTGAACATCATAAAAAAAGTCAAATCTTACTTGACAAAAGTAAAAGTCTCGCTTGTAATAATTTCTTCTACCAAAGAAAAATCCGAGGATCCTTAGAAATCTCTAAACAACTTCAGAATCTTAACACATTTTAAATGCTCTAAAAACATACCAGCCACCTTTACTTGTTCTTCGGCAGACGTGGAACAAATAATCGATAAAAAACTGCTCACACAATAGTATTTGTAGTGTTTTAGTTCCATTCCGCGTGGTCCTGTTTATATATTTTTTTTCTATGAGTGAGTTTGGCCACGGATGACTGCACGGATGGCGCCTAACATCAACAAGCAACCAAGATGTTCAATATAATTTTGTGCCTGTCTTTCGTGGTTCCACAAGGATTGTTCGGGTCTCACTAACCATGAGTTTAACAAGCAGGCAACTATGTGGAATAAAACCAAAGAAACAACTTGGGCATGCAATCTCTGCTTAGATATCGCGCAGTCTCAGTCAGGCAGGAAGCAAACCTCGAATAGCAACCCCCGGCGCACAATTGGACCGAGTGCTGCGTCACTCCAAGATATCTCTGGTGGTGATGTCTCCAACTCAGCAATAATCCATAACCAAGTATCTTTGAACGACATAATGGAAAAATTAATAATCATCCTAACTCAGTATGCCAACCTGCTGGCGAGATACGAAGACCAAAACCAAATTAATGCTGATCTTAGATCAGAGATTGCAGAGTTAAGGATTCAAATTGCTAATAACAATCGCGGTGATAGTACTACAGCCGCCGAACAAAATCACGAAAACGGCATTCTTCAAGAAGTGCTGCAGAGACAGGTACGTATTAACAATTTGATGATTTTTAATCTTCGCCGAGACGAGAGCATTCCTGAGTCACTTCAAATCTCTTCACTGCTCTCCTGCAGTGGATCTACACAGATTGAGGTCATTGACGTTGTTTCCGTCGGTAAACCAAACTGTAATGGCTACCAACCAGTTAAAGTGAGGCTGTCTAAACCCAGCCACGTGTCACTTGTGCTGAAGAGTAGGAGAACGCTCGATGAGAATCACCAAATTTACGTCGAGGCGGATCTTTCTCCGATGCAACGTAAGCATTTTCGGGATATTAAAGAAGAACTGCAACATCGTCCCTCGAATGTTGAAAACAATCTGATTCTAAAATACAAACGTGGAGTTCCCACTATCGCTACAAAAAACCCAGCTCCGCCACCACCTCAGCCAAAGAATTGACCTGTATATACCAGAACGTTCGGTGTCTCAGAACTAGGACCCATGTCTTTTACAGTGTAAAAGCTCTGTAGATGACTTTTTATTTTATGTATTTATAGTATACATTCCTCCCACTGCTACCAGCTTCGAAGTTGGGAACTTTTTTGAATCTCTGTCGCGGATCTTGTTATTGAGTTATTTCAATATTCCTTCGTTCACTGTTTCAGCTCCTATCAATGTCCGACATAGATCCCTACTCAACCTCAGCGCCATATTGAATCTTAAACAGCATAACTCTGTAACTAACCTAAATAACCGGTACTTAGATATCGTTTTTGCCAATTTCGACGTTGAAATAGTGAGAAATGCAATACCACAAAGATCCACACCATTCCTCGTTAATAGTTTCTCTCCGAGCCGCTTTTCCACACGTCCTTAATTTTCCAATCACTAGGACCGATCAAACCAAATTTAACTTTAGGAAGGGCAACTGTCCTCATATGTATGAACTGATGCAGCATGCAGACTGGAATATTGTTATGGAGTGCTCGGATGTCGACAGGGCTCTAACACTTTTTTACGACATGCTAAACAATATTTTTGCCGTTTGCACGCCCACTAAAACACCGAGACAAAGGTGATTTTCCACATGGTTCGCCCAAGAAATGATCGCAACTATGTTTGAGAAGGAGAAAGCTTTCCGCAATTTCAAGCAACACAAATCATCTTATTATTTTGGCAATACCGCGCTTGCGCAAGTTCCAGTTACGCATTGCCTATACTGATATTGTTCGTCGTGCTGAGTTAAGTATACATGATAGTCCTTCCATTTTCTGGTCATTTATTCACCGGAAGAAGGCAGATTCGCGAATCCCAGTCATGATGTCCTATTCTAGTCAGCCATGTCATGGGCCTAATATGATTGTTACAGCTTTTGCTAAGTACTTTGGTGCCAGCCAGATCCATGTTCATCTTCAAGCATGTCCTTTAATCCGGAACTAGTCAACATACCTAAGCTTACTATCCAGGATGTCTTGTCAGCAAGCAAAACACTCAAGAAAAAAATTATCGCCGGTCTTGATGTCATATCAACTTTTATCGTGAGAGACTGTTCCCACGCACTGTGTGCTCCTTTATATCACGCTTTTAACCTGATACTTGAAACGGGTGTTTATCCTGAGCCTTGGAAATATGTCAAAGTTTATCCTATTCTCAAAAAAGGTGACCCTTCTGTAGTTGAAAACTATCGACCAATTTTCTAAAATATTCGAGATTATATTAAATAAATTTATTTTTGCTCAAATTAGAAATAAACTATCTACGCAAAAACATGGGTTTTATGCGAAAAGATCATGTATCACCAACTTATGCTCCCTGTCTTCATATGTCTGTGACTCCCTGAAAAAGCAAGGTCAAGTTGACGTTATATACACTGACTTCCACAAAGCGTTTGACCAGATAGATCATCACTTACTGATTGAAAGAACATCTCAAAAATTCGGTTTCTCTGATTCACTGATTACAGTGTTGAGGTCCTATATGGTGAACCGTCGACAGTTTGTTGAGATTGATGGGTTTAGGTCAGTTCCTTTTTTTCCAACTTCTGGGGTGCTTCAAGGTTCTAAACTTGGACCTCTTCTGTACAATATATTTATAGATGATCTCATATCTTTGATCATCTGCAACAAGCTTGCCTATGCGGATGACCTAAAACTATATGAATGCATCGAAACTACCACGGACTGCATGACTTTCCAGGACAACATCAATATTGTCAGTCAGTGGTGTACTAAAAATAAATTGCATCTTAACATTAGAAAGTGTAATGTGGTTTCTTACCACCGCACAAAAACTCCTATAATCTTTAATTACAATATGGATGGTACTGTCCTGAGTAGACTTGCCACTATGAAGGATCTGGGGATTTTATTTGACCAGTCGTTTTCTTTTGTACCTCACATTACTAAAATGGTTTCCAGTGCAATGTAAATTTTAGGATTCATAATAAGAAATTGCTGGCATTTTTGCAGTTCGGCTACTGTTAAATTATTATTTAACTGTTACGTTAGGTCCAAGCTTGACTATGGCTTGCTGATATGGTCACCAATTTATAACTGCCACACTCAGTCCATTGAGAGTGTGCAGAGAAGGTTACTAAAGTATCTAATGTTCAGAGAGGACGGTTCCTATCCTAAGAGGGGAGTTGATCATGATCTTCTCCTAACTATACTGCTATACTGCCTCTGAGCTTGCGCAGAGACTTGCAATCTGTTTCATTCCTCTATAAGTTAGTTCATTACGGAGTGGATTGTCCGTTTCTTCTGGAACAATTACGCTATCATGTGCCGCGGCTGGAAAGGAGACATCATTCAATTTTCTTATCGCAGTTACCCAGGTCCAATATCCATTTTCAAAACACTATTTACAATATGTCTGGTACTTTCAACAAACTATGATCTTACTGTGATTTATATGATGATGGTCTCCAGGTCAAACTTCGGCAACTTCGATTGGCGTCGGGTTATCCGTACCGATAAGTCTTATCCTTTTCTTTCTCATTGTTTCCTTCTTTTTTTTAGTTATAAGATTAGTAGATTTAAGATTAGTTTCTACGTCCCCTGGTATATATATTGGATGAATTAGATTTAGAATTTCCTGTAATTGAGTCATGTTACCTGTTGGGAATAAAGTGTTTTTATTATAAATTGCTATTATTATATTACACTGGTTAAAGCGTTGCCTAATGGATATTTTGCTGGATGGAATTAGAATTAAAAAAAAGCCAAACTTCAGTTCTGGACAATTTTTAATAATAATAATTAGTGTAAGAAAACGGTCAAGTTCTGGAAAATTTGTGCCGATAACCCTCATATTTACATAAAAGGTTTTTAAAAATCTTTAGTTTTCTACTTTTTTCTACTAGTGATTACTCTCTTAGAGACGAATCCTTGCTGCTTGATAAGATATCACTAGTAAATAGCACTTCATCTGCAAATTGGTGTGAGCTGAAATAGTTAAGATAATGAGCGAAATCCGAGTTGTAAACCGAGAACAATAATAGTCCCAAAACACCACCCTGGGGAACCCTTTCAAACACGTACAAGAAATCATACTATGCGTTTCGAAGAAATACTTTTTGACTCCTACACAATCAGAATACAACAAATCCAGACCTAATTTCCTTCGACTATAAGTGTGAGAGTGACCCGGGGTATCATGCAACAAAACTGTTTATAAAATACAAGAACAGATAACTAACCTAAACAGATCTCAATTAATTTAAAGAGAAGGTAAAAAACTATCTAATAAAAAATACATTTTACTCCTTCTACCTACCTGAGGAGTTTTACAGCGCCACAATTATTTGATCAAACCATAAAATAGTGTTAGTGTTATCACCTTTTTTTGGCTGTCTTTTAGTGTTTCTTTGTAACGTAAAGCTTTGAAGTGCTACTTATGTCTCTACTTTATTTTCTAACAGTCATACATTCAACGAAATATTTTTTAAAATTGGTTATTCTGATAATGTTTGCAGGGGTTAACCTAAAAAAACTTTCTCGTATAATTATTAGGTGAGTTTCTTTTTGACTTATGTAACCTCAGTTTCCATTTCACCTCAATAAACAATTATTATTATTAATATTCAAACTGCAATCTTGATATCTCAAATTTTTCACCAGCGGGCAGCGGGCGTAGAAATTAAGTATACTTGTTGCATATGTCAATTCAACTTTGTTTTTTTAGTTATATAGTTTTTCGTTTAGTTAGTAAAGTAAGTAATTTTGTTTAGTTAGTAATTTTTTTTTTTGTATTTTACTGAATTGTGCAGAAAAATAAAGTCCTCATTAAGACCTATTTATTCATTAATTTACTTATTCTCATGTTACTGAAGCTTACTTCCGTTAGCTATGGTCTAATTAGTGTAGTCACAAAGATGAATCGTCTTACGTTATCTTACTTTAACTTACATTTCGTGACCGGATATCGATTAATGTGTCTATACACTTTAAACTTGTAGGAGATTTTTGAAACGAAACGTTTTTTTAAATTAATAATAGTGACTCTGGGCGATCAGTTCCTGGAGACATTCAACCTTTTCGAAATTGACCGGCGGACTGTACGCCCCGCCCATCCACGACCATCTCAATAGGCAGCCAAGTTGCAGGGATTCGACTTAACTTAATTAACACATTCATTTATATTATCGTTGTTATTTCCAAACGAAATGAGTTTAGATGAATTAGAGGAAGATGTCACTTTCAATCTTTAATCGTTGTTGAAAGTTGAAAGTCATTTACAAATTGATGTGAGCTGAAATAGTCAAAATTATGACAGAAGTCAGAGGTGTAAAGGTCCCAAAACACTACCCTAGAGAACCCTGCGAACCATATCCAAGAAATGAGAGTAAGCGTCTCGAAGAAATACCCCTACCAAGTAAAAAATTTTGTTTGTCAAAGAAAAACATGTCCTCTAGCAGTGATACAAACAATCAGAATACAAGAAATAAAGATACTTTAAGAGCTAATTATTTTCGACTACGTAAATATCATGAGATCCTAATTTAAAGAGAAATTATAAGACTACCTAGTAAAAAACTCCTCCTATCGACAATCACTATCCAATCACTACAATCCTTTGGTCAAACAATAAACTTCAATATTTGTTTTACTGGTATCACTTTGTTTCTGCTGTCTTTTAATGTTTATTTGTAATGTGAAGTTTTTAAATACTACTTATGTCTGTGCTTTATATATTTTAACAAATTTCAGTGAAAATGTTGTTTAACGGTGCTTAATCTGATAATGTTAAACTGTAGGGTTTAACCTGAAAAAAAAACAAAAAAAAAACATTCTCATGATATCATTAAGCAGATAATTTTCTTTTTGACTTGTATAAACTCGGTTTGCATTTAACCTCAATAAGCAATTATTATTATTAACAAAACTATAATCTTGAAATCTCAAAAGCTCCACCGGCGGACAGCGGAAGTCGAAGTTACCACTTTTTACTTAAAATCTAACTATTTAAATACCATGCAGAGCATTTTTATTGCAAAAAGACTTTTAAAAAATGTCTGTGTCGGCTGTCCAGGTTCCGTCCATGATGTTTCTTGCTTGTGGTTCGTTGTAAGTGTCTTATCTTTTGAGAGAGAATATTTACAATATTTAGAAATTAAAGTTATGATCATGAATGAAATAAAAAAATCTATAAAAGAAAAATAAACCGGGAGCCTACCATTTCCCCATGTTACTGAACCTTACTGTCGTTAGCTATGACATCGAAACGTCGGCAATATAGTTCAACCACCTTACATTACATTAATTTACTTTTTTTTTCGTCATCGGAAATCAGCTTATCTGTAATATACATCTTAAACTTGTTTAGGAAAACTGTGTTCAATTTCGGTCGTTAAATGCGAAACGAAATTTGATTTTTGAAACGAAACGTTTATTTAAATTAAGAACAGTGGCTCTTGGCGATCAGTTCCTGGGGACATTCGACCTGTTCGAAATTGACAGGCGGATTGGACGCTCCGCCCATCCAAGACCATCTGAATAGGCAGCCGGGTTGCAGCTGTTGGGGCAGGTCGTAGCAGCCGCTTTCTTCTTCAACTCCTCCGTACTGATCACCCCAGCCAGTCTCTGGGGCATTCCACTGTTTCTTACAACCTTCCGTGAAGTAACCTACTCCGCCGCCAGGAATGTGAACATCGAACTCATTGACTTGTCCAGTAGTGCTGCTGGTATCGCCGGTGTTGATAATCTTAAATAAAAAAGTTCAAACGCAATTATTTTTGAGAATTTAAAAATAGATCTACTCCTACAAAAATACAACAGGTTTAATGAATGTTGGATACCCAGTAGATATTGTATTGAGAAGAAGAATATAATGGTTCTACAAGGAGAGCGTGTGTTTTAATTGAACTGCTATCTTGATTTTGGTCTAAAGGCGTAGATGTAGATACCAGTCAACGTGTAACATCGGAGATGGAAGGACCTCTGAAAAGGCTTGCTACTCGTGTTCGCGAAATGTCGACAACCTTTAGATCCGAATCAGGACAAAAGTTCATCGACTGGTCGCAAAACTCTAAAGCAATGTATTGTATTGGTTGGAAATTTGGCAACAAAGCAGAAGATTGCAAGAAAGAAACACCTACGAAAATATGCAACAGAACACGAGGAAACATAACGACAATGGGTGATTGTGTCCATAAAGCATAGGAACGAAAGCCTACATGAGCGTAGTTGAAATTTCAAATAAATTACTCCACTCTGATTGGAAAAACATTAAACAAAGAATTAGATATTTCTCGAGCACTCACACATGTACATATATGTAAAAAAAGGATGCAAATACGAATATTGTCTGCAACAGAAACGTGTGAATATCATAAATTGAAATATTCACTAAACACTAGAAATATTACCTAGTTTTAGTTCTACCTTTTGGAATGCAAAAGTTTTTATGCAAGAAAACTACTTAATTGTTAGTACAAAGTCCTCTACAAAAATCGATCCACAAATAACTAACAAATCATGAGGTACCGATAATCATTCCAAAATTGTATTCAATTTAAAACAAGAACTTACAAAGGAACTCAAGATAATGTCCTACAGAAACTATGAAGATATTAGGTAAACTAAAAACTAGCTTCAACTGATTGCTATGTTATGCAATTTACTACATAGTTGTGAAGGAAAGTTGGGAAAATAAATTATGGCGGAACGAGGAGATCTGGGAAGCAATAATTTGATATGTCACATGTATGAACGAACTACCATAAGCAAAATTAATGAAGACTAGCCAAACTATAGAGGGCATTAAAGAAATTGAATAAAATATAACTTTAACTAATATATGTGGAAAGACTGCAGAGTTTTTGGAAAATAACACCATACTTGACAAACTCTAACAAATATATATATATATATATATATATATATATATATATATATATATATATATATATATATATATATATATATATATATATATATATATATATATATATAATCTAAAATCTAATTGCTTCGGTTTGCTGAACATTTAAAAAGCCGAAAATTTTCCAGTATTCTGGGTACTAATTTAGGGTGGACCAGTAATTTATGGAATGTGTTTGTGTGTTTACAAAAATCATGACTTTTCCATCTTATGTAAAATTGGCAAAAAGTTATGTTTTCAAATAGACTGCTCTGTTTATTATTTGTTAGCTTGAATTTTATATTCCTATACCTAAATAGTAAATTTTATAAATAAAAATATTAAACCAACCACGAAATGTCACGTTACGTGTTTATTTATTGAAAATTGACAATCACCATACAAGAGCAACGCTGCATAACTAATATAACTAATATAAGAAACAAACTCGATAGAATGATTCATTCTTGATCCAAAAGTATTATAGCATACCAAGCTTATTCTGAACCGTTTTGGAGTTAAAAGCAAAAGACTAGAATAATGCAATTTTTACTAGTGAGCCATATATAGTTTCACAGTTCGATTAGATGGTATTAATCAAACAATTTATTTTATTTATTTTACAGTTTTCTATTATATAAGATTGCAGGAAGAACGTTCAGTACATTCAATAAGCTTTATCCAAATTTGCGCCGATTTTGAAAACTATAATCTACCAACTAACTAACTCACTAACAGTGATACAAACAATGTTGCACTTAAATTCGTAAAGAGAACTTTATTATAAAATTCATAATCATAAATTAATTAGTTTTTGCTAAAATATCAAGAAGATCGAAACTTTCTAAAAGGAAATAATTTGAACGAGCAAGTGCTAATTTTAGGAAAAAAAAGAAATATTTGCATATTTGCTTAAATTAAATTATTCTAGTTTTTTGCTTTTAACTCAAAAACGGTTCAAAAGCAGTATAATCCGTAATAATACTTATCAAAAATTAATCGTTATTTTTATTTCCGCCCAAAAATACAAAGAGTTCCATTTAATGTTCAAATGTGATATTTAAAGTCCGTTCAGAGCAATTGTGCAGATACGTCATAGCATGACATCTTTATCTAGTGCATGGATGTCGTGAATTGACACAGAAATTTTATTTATCAGTTTTGAAATCGTTATTTATGGTTGTGGTAGCGATATAAGACATACGGATCATTTTTGATTACGTCAATATGTGACGTGACTGCTTTGACTGGAGTATATATGTGATAGCGAAAATCTCAACCTATTGACAAACCGTAAATAAAATTTTAGATTTCTATCGTAAACTGTTAAAAGATAAATAATAATTTTTGTGATAGATTTTCTTCGCAAAATTTTCTAAAAAAAATTTTTATCTCCAAAATAACTCGAGAGAGCTATAATGTATACAGATATTTAAAAATATTGGGAGCTATCAGAAGAAGAACGAATTGCCATACTTCTATCATTGCTTACCTGAACAACCATCTGTTTACCGGTCAAATCTTGTCCCCAACCTCCCGGCTGGAATTTGAGCAGTAAACATTCGCAACACATGTTCATTGGTGCATTTTCGAATGTTCCAGCGATAAATCCGAACGCAAAAGAGTCATTTAAAGCCCAAGGTTGAGCATCGTTGCATACGTAGCCAGCGCCATCTCCGCATCCTTTAAATATGGAATTAGCAAATTTGAAATATTTAAAGTGTAATTTGTAGAATTATGTACTTCTAACTGGGTCTACTGCAGGAACCGATAGCTTGAAGGACATGTAAATCGTAGTCGTAATTTTAACACAAAATAGATAGAGCAAAATTGTCTTACATCTCAAGGACTCGATTTTTGAGAAACATTGAACGGTTAAAACCGCATGGCGATATCTTCACTATCACGCGAGATATAGATATAGGCGCATTTGAACATTGCCCATATCTTTTTTATTTATAAAATAATTGTATTCCGATAAAAATATTATTAATTTTTTTTATGGAACTTTAAAAAAGATAAGAAACACAAAACCTAAGAACCATTATTACCATATTACTTTTAAAATTTAATTTTAATATTTTTAATTCTTTAGAAAACAAAATTATAGTTATTATAACATAATGAATGAAACCCGATAAATATAAGCATAAAAATATTAAAACTTCATCTTTTACATTAATTAATATAGCATACATTGAATCCAAAGCAACCTTGCCGATTTTGATACAGTACAGCATGGATTGTCTATGCTCCAACGATAAGAATTATATCTATTAAATATTCCGGAAGAGTCAATTCTCGCTTCGCCACTCCAAACAATAGACAATGGCAAATTAATGTTCTCATTTCATTTTCCGAAAGTAGTCAGTTTTTCCAGCATTTGTCGCGTCAGCTAGTGCCCGTGAGGGTATGCTTGGATTTTCCGACACTTCTCCAATTTTATTCAATTCCAGGATCCGTAATTTTTAACGTTTCTGAATATGTACTGAAATAAATTTATTGGCTGCCTCTGCGTTTTCGTTTGACAAAATGTAACACTTTATCACATTATACTTTTCATAATGTTGGTATATTTTAGATTGCTAAATGAATTTAGAGCTTAAGTTTGGCCACTAAAATTATATGTGACAGATCACAAAATTCAGTAAAGGATAAAAGTTATGTCCTTAACGACATTGACGGTCTACTATTTCCCACTTTTTTCACCACAGATATTAAACAATCTATATGAAAACGGATCAATTGTCAACTATGATTGCCATATAAAATAAGAAAGTTGTATTCATTTATGAGAAAAATGTGAACTATAGAAAAAATGGGAGTACGCCACTGAATTTGCCTTCAAAAGTTGCAGAATCTAAAATTTTCGTAAATAAAAAAGCAGTCGACAACCTATGCATCTCCGATTTTGCTCTTTCTAGTTAATAGGTTTTTGCTGTTAAACACTCGAATTACGACCAATGCCCTCCAAACTAGCAAAATTAATTCACTCCTTGTGAAATTGAGCTGGTTTGTTTGTAAGTTACGAATATATCGCCGAAGTGTGTTAAGCAAAGAATTAAATTTCTTTCGCCAAAATCTATTATTAAAACACTAATGAATCAATCAATGCGTGATACCAACACAAAGCAAACTACACAAACCATAAAACAATACCACAATTCCAAATTTTACCTCCGAAGTAGCTTAATATTTTTTTCGCAAGAGGTCTTATCAGTTTTTAAAATTAACAATATGTATATTCAACGTATTGTTGGAGATGATTCATTGATAATTCGAAATGTACTTATATACCGTAAAATGCTGGAAATAATAATAAAATCTAATCAGAATCGCTCAAATAAAATAATAAGAAGAAATAAAGTTATTGTCGCTAACTACGTCCCTGTCATGCTTGACGCATGCTCGATTTTTGTGAAACAAAAGATGCACTAATAAAAATCCTAACTGACTTTGTTTTTCAGATACGGGAAGAAAATAAATACAGGCTATTTCAATTACACTATGTATTTCAAACATGTGTGTGAAGATATCGGCTGTTATACTAGCAAAAGTTATGTTTTATGAATGGAATGATCCTTATTAATATTTTTTATTAGTTTGGGCATTTTATGAGCTTTTCATAAATGCATGCTTGTCTAAATATATTACTTTAAATGAACATATATTTTGGCACTTTTGAAACTATTCTATCTTAAATTTATTCTATTTAAGAATAGTATTGTTATTATTATTTTTTTCCCAAAAATATGAATGGAATACAAATAATACTTACAGAAAACTGTTCAAACTGATTTTTTGAATTATTTAAGAATTCTTCTTTATGCATTTACGTACTCAGATTCTTTCATAAAGTTTATGTTTTGAGATACAAAAACATTTTAAAAATATATATTATTATAATCATTTTTATTATTATTATTAATTATCATTATAATTATTATTGTTATTACTATTATTAAGTGTAAATAATGACTGCTTTTCTAAAATTTTACTATGTACATTAAAATTCAAATTTTTAAAACGTTTAAGTATATTAACGACCATGCTGGTTGTTGAACGCCGCTGTCTCACTAATTAAAAGTAAGACACGCACATGTTGAAATTGAAAATTGAATTGAAATTAACCATTTGACTACTTGACCACTTGAAAAAGAAACGCCACTATTTGCACAGGCAAATTGTGCCTTTTCTTTGCCTAGGCCTAGACAAAATTCATTTTACCTAGAATTACCGACATATATAATACTAACTGAAGAATACCAGAAGAAACAAAGACTTTTTGTTCACATCACATCATCATACCAAATTCTGGCGATTATTGAAACTTCAGCACAAAGCGTTGGTTTTTATAACAGTTATAACATTGATGAAAAATGTAAACGTATTTATTCAACTCATACTTTTATAAAGAAAACCATATAGTTCCACTTTTTCGAAAAAATCTAAGCGGAATAATGTTGAAGAAGCAACTATAGCACCTGGTGACCAGAAAGTCGATTCCGATGTTGTTTGGGATCCTAGTCTACTAAATGCAGAGAAAAGTTTCGTCCCCCAAATATTCTTATAAAAAATGCCAACAAGGAAAATTAAAAACTTTAATATAACAAGCGACTAAACAATTAGTTAAAAAAAAGATATTCAAAGTACTGCACAGAAATTAGTAGAAATATATTCAAGTTTATTGAGTAATTTATACAAACATCTTCATTGCATTGACTTTTCAAGGTTTAAAGGCTTCTTCAGAGCGTAACTGAAACTGTCTGAAAACTGAAAACGCATTCTACTTTGCACCGACTTATGTGCCGCTTGAGGCGCAGCTAATGGAGGGACATGAACATTATCTGCAAGAATCTTTTTTTTTTCTAACGAAGGTTTTTCGACCACACCTATAAATGCTTCTCCGTCCCTTGTAACACAAATTAGTTGTTCTACATTAATATTCGTCCACTCTCTAACATTGCTCATTCATTACTTCTTTTTTCTACCAACTTTGACTCCCCTCCATTCTCACTTGCATGACGGTATGTAGTAATGTGCATATTTTTCGAACTTTGAGTACAGTCATGAGCTTCCTTCCATATCCCATACGTCTTAATACATCTGCGTTGGTAATTTTCACTGTTCCAGGGTTCCTATGTATTTGTTAGTACAGACACATTTCGAATGCTTCGATTCTCTTTATCATTTGAACTTTAAATGTCCAAATTTCTATCCAGACGTAGTATTCTAAAAATTTTAGATCTATCGATATATTCAGACTTTTATTAGTAAATATATTATATGAACCCCTTTCTAGCAATTTCCAATCTAATTTTCACTTCCTCGTCTTGATCCAATTGTGAATTAATTGTGGCACCTACTGACTCTTACTCCATTTTATTTTTTGATACGACCATGAATTTTGTTTTTTAATGTCAATGAGTCTATTTGTGGCAGTCTTTTTCTTCTTCCTCTTTTCTTTCTATTCCTTCATTTTTCTTCTGCTACCAAAGAAACCAACTACCTACCTGTTGGTCTCTCACGAGCAATATATACAAGGTACAGGTACAAAGTAGAATGCGAGTCAGTTTCAGTTAAGCTAAGAAGAAGTCATCAGGATGATTTCCCAAACGTCAGCAACACGACAGGAGGCTCGCCAGAACCGGTAATTTTCAGTTGCCCAAACATAATCAAGCAAATGTTCCTTGAAAAAATTGCATAGCGTCTACCACCAATAAAATAGCACCTTTGATCTGATCGGAAATACGTGCAGCAATACATGTAAAAACTGCATCGTGTCTACCGGGCTTAAGATATGAAATTTATGCTTACGTTTAAAAGAAGAAACATTAAAAAATTTACGCCATTTAAAAATGATACTGGATAAAACGAACAGTCCGGAATTATCGCACGAGGAATTGTTATCGCACTCTTCAATTTAAAACAATTCATTTAATTCATTGGATACAATCTTCTGTCTCACTCACCCGACTGAGTTTCCTTGTCGATTATGGTGACACCGTCGATTCCGCAAGTATCGACAGGCGATTTCTTGTTCTGGATGTTGGCCACCCAGGAACAAGTGGGCTTACAGCAATCCCAGTACCGGGTCGTTTGGGAGTAGCCGTTGGCACCGCCAGGTACCGGAGTCAACGTCACGCTGGACGATGACTTCACTAAACAAATTCGTATTAATTTTAGTTTAGAAAAACGTGGATTCTAGAAATTACACTGTTTTATATTACAGGTAGTCGTTTCCCCTTTAAAGTCATCAGAGCCGTTCACTTAGTAATTTAATAAATGATAATGTGTTTTCATTTCCTAAATATCATACTTCCCTATTTAGGAGAAGCTATGCCTAGAATGCCTATTCGCTGCTAGAAAATCTTAAAAAAAAGAACCTTAAAAAGTTTAAAATATAATTTCAAAAACATCAACTTTCTGGGTGAAAATATTAATCGAGGTATACCTAACGTAGAGAAATGATTTGTGTGTTTGTTTACTTTTATATCACCTTCTATTTTTTGTCTATTATTTTCAATTTCTTCTCTCACTTCCAGTGGCTAAGCAGAATAGCTATTAAGCACTTTGCTTATTTATGAAATGTAATTTTGGAAAAAATGTAATTAATAAAAGACGTTTATTATTAAAGTCAATCATTCATTATCATCTTGCCTAATATACCGTCCCCTCATTATTCCTTTATGAGGGAGTAAACGGAAATAAATGACACTTTCAATAGTATATTATGCAGCAAGCGCGGTAAACAGCCTTTGACTCGCCAGTTTACCCGGCAAGTAACCCGAGCAGGGAGAATATCAGTCTGACGAAGCAATTCTTTATTTTGATACCTCCCGAAATAAATCCAATCGGCGCAACAAGATAAACATCATCTGGGAACACTTATCCTCAGGTAAAGTCTGTTCATAGATATAAGAAAGTGACTAACTGATACGAATTAAGGAAAGACCAGGGCAAGCTGTAAGAATGAAATATGACAGAACAGGTCCGTACTTTGCTTATAATTTAATTATTTGGGGTTTTGTTAGGAAAGATGCTAAAGAATATTTATTTATTTTAAATCTAAAATAAAATTACAAATTATTTTTATTACCTACTTAAAATTATTCACATAATATATCAGTATCACTATCGCTATCACCGCCTGTTCTAATTATTATTTGTTCTATATTATTTGCAATATGGATATACGATTGTTCTGCTTTTTACATATGTTTTACACAATTTGCCCAACTTTGTGGAGGGATGTTAAACATTGTTACGATGAAGGGCAGATTTCAGTTGGTGCCAAACATGTTCAATGGGATGGAATGGGATTAAATATATAAAATATTAAATATACCAAAACAATTATCAATGGGATGGAATGGGATTAAATATATAAAATATTAAATATACCAAAACAATTATCACAGATGTATTCCTTTTGTAGGTTCAAGCTTTGTAGAACCTCAATTAATTGCTTTTTGGTATAATCTTCCTGAAAATAAATGTCGTTATTATACATGTAGTTTTGGATTGTTGCTTTTGTGTCACATGAGGAAGGGGTTTTAGTCAACTGTCTACTGTGATAACTTGCATTGTGCATTACAATTAGGCTATTAGGAGGAATGTTTGGAACTACATAGTTTGTTTTTAAACCAACTTTCAAATAAATCAGCGGTGGTGTCTTCATGGTGATCCAGAGAAGAATCTTTAATATTTTTCGCAGACAGAGAAAGTCCATTTGGAATCCAACCATCTTTAGAGCCACCATGCACATAGTTATTCTTTTACCTCTTTTTGATAAGGCGTTTGTTTTACACTTATCAGTTGAGTCAACCCAACCCTTATCCGGTTTCATCTCTTTCAAGCCTCCTAATTAGTTTTACACCGTATTATATCTTGATCACTTTTATCTACACTCGACAAAATGTCAGCATCGCTTCTTTTTTTCCTCGCTGAAATGGGATTATTCACAAATTTCCATACAGTTGATGTTGGAATTTTCCTCAATGTGGCCGTTTCCTCTGTTTTCTTGCTGGCACCACGTTCAATGAGAGTCAAATAAACATTGTTTATACCTTCCTTAGTCTCAATAGAATAGCGTTTTTTACATTTGGGAGATACACTACACTCGCACATATTTTGCATAATTCGCACACGATTCAAAACACGCTGTATTACATACGAAATAAGAATGAATACTAATAAACTTAAACTAAGTAGTATACCAAACCAAAGAATATTAAACACAGGTAGGTATAAAATTATTTTCTATTATTGACCACAATTTTACCTGAATTGAAATTCCGAAATTTTAGGTAATAATCTTGTTGCATTGTATGTTAATGACCTCCCTTGGATAATCCCATTCAAAAGCAATTAGTCACTTTCTTATATCTATGAACAGACCATACACGGCATCGACTGCTACTCTCTTTGCCGGCTTTAATAACGAATATCGAAAAATATCCATCAATAAATAATTTTAACTGGTCGCCTGGCAGCCTTTTCAAAGTACTTTTTCCATTTTCTTTCATGAAACTACAGCGAGCACTTGCAACATTCTTGATACTATATTACCTTTATTAATTAACGTCTCATCAAGATCAAACATTTTCTTCTGCTTCTTACTACTCAAGTAATTTTATTACCAGCAAATAATGTAACAAAAATGTAAAATGTAAAAAGTGGTCTATAAAAATTATCAACCGCTAAAGCCAGGGTGTTTATTTTTTCAAATAAAGATAGTGAACTATTTTTCGAATTGCACTCTTGCAGACATTCTAATTTTTCTCGTCCGCAACAATTTAGAAACGGTGGACTTTCCAACTCCGGTTATTCGGAAACATGTACAGTGTATCCAAAATCAGGTTCCATACCTAGCTAGCATAGTTTCATCTATATTTTTTAATTTTATAAGGGGTTCTGTTCATCTAGGGTAAATACCAGCTTTTTTATTTTAACCCTTTATATTATTGCAGTTTTGCAATTTTCCGGAAAACTCTAATCTAATGGCTTTCTACAAATCTCGAATGTTATGTCAAAAGTTATGTTGGCAGGCCCTAAAATAATTGAAGATTTTTCCTGTAAGGGAGTGTCAATTTTTTTCCTATATCGAGTGGACAACAACATTTTTAAATGGATGACTTTGTATTAGATTGTCTTTTTCTCTTAATTTTGACAATTTAAAAAATAATTGACAATTTTCCTATTGCAATAATGCTATTGCTGAGCTGTTAAGATTTGTTATTAATTGGGCATGATACTGAAGCTCTAAGAAATTGAATTAGGAACGAAGTTCAATATATAAATCAATGGGTAACGCAGCTAGAAAATTAGAACTAAAATACGCAACTTGTATCGCTGTGGAAAATTGATTTTAAATTTCGAAATTCGGAATGTCATATATTTTTTTGATTTTAAATTATATTTTGTAGTATTTTCACATTTAATAATCATATAGCTATTCGATAATAAAATGGCCTTACTGCGGTAGTTGATATTTTCGTAGAGAAGATAATACTACTAACCTGCACTTTCTAAGCAGCGATTTTCCCACCCTTAACTCGTTTTCACCACATTTAACGAGATCTAAGCATACTTAGTGCCTTAAAAATTCCGCATTTAAACTTATCAACGATCTGTTCGAGGCCATGTTGCCTGTTGAGTGAGGCAATGTCATTGGTTAAAGACTTTGTTTTATAAGTTCCTGTTTCAATGGAAAAAATATTATAAATTAAATAAAGTAATAAATCAATGTCACAGAACTTGCGTCGAACTGACATGTAAATAGTTGGTGTTTAAGAGCAAAACTTAACAGCCATATTATATATGAAATATGAAATGACATATGACAAATGACATATGAAATATGGCTGCAAATGTCATAGGACATTCTACATGACATAAATCAAGAATTTCAAGGGGAATCCGGAAATATAATAATATGCAGAGTGTTCTACTTGAAATAAGAAAACTGATAATTGCTCTAATCGTTTATTTGTATATATTGAAAATTTAAAATTTCAAAGCCTTGATGAAAATATGCAATTGTTCTGTTTAACTTTCGTACTTTTTGAATTGAGAGGATAACAGCAATGCGTTAAAATAAACAAATATACTGGTAAAGGAGTCACCGTAAGTGTCTGTAAAATACCTAATTATATACGGATCTAGCGTGCGGGAAGTGCCACTTTACACGTCAGTTTCGTTTCCCACGGATTCAAGACACTTCGGGCATTTCCGAGATTTTACCGCGCTGCTTTGAGGGCAATCGGATGATTTCGGAGATATTTCCCACGCCTTGAATTTTGACGTTTGTCAATTCTGAACGTCATGTCAGTGAATGTATTGGTGTTGTTTTGCTAAAATGTATCCAAAAACTAACGGTCTTAGAAAAAGTATAGTATGCAACACTTTCGGTAAACTATTTGATCTGACCTGATCAAGCCATTGAGAAAGTTATCCCAGCGAACTTAGTGCCAAATTGACTGACACACATTTCGATATCCTAGTTTCTGACATCAATTTTGACTGATAGAGGAAAATCCCTACAACTTTTGGATTTTTTATTTTTTTCTAAAGCCTGTAGTGACAGTGGTGGCGAAATATAAATGATTGTAATTGTAAATTTAATTTTGCCCATTTTTCCAAGTTTTGAATTATACTTAATGTCATGAAAATGGAAATAAGTTGATATAAAAAACTATTTTTATTAGAAATTCATATAAAAATTTAATAAAACAAAAATAGAAATGTAAGAATTATTTTTTTCTACGCTGAATTGTTTATTTTTTTATAATCTTTTAAAGTAGATAAAATGCATCAAAATGAATAGGGCTATAGGATCACGAACAAAACTTGTCGGAAATTGTTCAGGAGTTTGCACAAGTGTTTCAGAAAAAAAAGAAATAACTTTTTTTGACACACCCTGTATAATAGGTCATATCAATTTTGAATGGCAGATGAAAACCCCTACAATTTTTGTAATTTTCATTTTTTTTTAAGTCTGCAGTAAGTGGGAAGCGAAACATAAATGACAATATAAATAGTATATTGAACAGGAAATATTTAATTAAACATTTTTGCATATATTTAATGTCTTAAAGCTGGAAATCAGTTTATATACAATATTTTTTTATTTTCCAGAAACGACATTAAATTCCGTAGATGACAAAAAATGTAGTTCCTTTGAATACCTAATAAGGTTTTGTTACTCTACACCTATCCGACTTTAAATACAAGTTTTTCTAAATATTAGTCACTGAGAATCCTAAATCGTAAGGAAATATTCGAATCTCGTTTTAATAAAACCGATAGGTGCTCAAGACTTTTGTACTAACACACAAATGCTTGAACCAAGCAGATCATAATTCATAACGTGCACTGCACCGATCGACTTTTCACAACACGTTCAAAACGCGCCTTCTAGTTTTTTTTTAATTAGATTTAAATATTTACAACGCAATGGAAGTAAACGTTACAAAAGAAAAACTTACGGTACATAAAAAGTCCGAATGTGATTAAGAATGCTGTCTTCATTTTGAACTAAAACACTAAAAGTAATTGAGGGACACCTTTATATAATTGTAGAACGAGTCTTATCGAATTATATCTTAACGTTGGAGTAGGTATTGTGCTAAAACACGAAAAATTTAGATAAGTTACGTTGCACATGTAAACAATTTATTTTTCAAAGCGCAACCAATAGATAGAGAATTTAGTATTATTATCAATATAATAATTCAGTCTTCCTTCACACAGTGACAATCATAGGAAAAGAACAAAATGGCGATAACATGCAACGAATAGATAAAACCAAAATTATGGCATATTACTTGATAGTTATTTCCTGATCTTAATAGTAGTAGCACAAGCGTAGTAGGCCGTATTACATACAATATTTTTTTAAAACCGACAATATAAGAAGTTTTCAACATCTTCTAAAAATGGTAAATTGACGTTTTAAGTATCTTTGAGTATTTTGACTATTAAACGTACATTTACTAGTATAAATTAATTGTGAACTAGGTATTTCAAAATTAGTTGTTGATGTGAAATTGTGGGATCTGCTTAAATTATAATAGGGTTGTGGAATTAAACAGTCAAGTTCTTTTGCGTCAACTTACCCGTCAATTGTAAAAATACAATGAAATTGTATGATTCTATAATGGCTTCTTGAAACTACAATGTGCATGAAACATTTTATTATTTATTAAAACACAAGCATTGTCTGCGTTTGGATTGAAAAAGAAACCATTCAAATTATAATTAACAGATAACAAAATAAGCATCACAAAATATTATTTTTAATATTTAAAATAACAATTTAAACATTTTATAAATAAAGAGGTCATCATTATAAATTATAAGGAAAGTCCTTTTTTCTGTGAACGATAGATATCCTTAGACCTGAAGGTCCCAAATTTTTAATTGCAGGCATTTTTATTGGAATTAAATTTGCTCCCACTTTGAATTAATGACATCAGTCTGCTAAGTGCAACTTGCGTAGTTGAACTCTGGTGCGGTGCCATGTTACTTACGGATGGACAGTCGGCTCGCGCGGCATAGTGACCGCATTCACTGGATCGAGAGTAAGAGCACCAACCGCACTAGATTGTTCCATCACTACTCGTTTCACTCTTTACAGTTCAACACAGTTATTATGTTTTTCGCGTGTCAAGCCTTTGGTGAGAATACTGCTAATATTTCACGTGTACTAACATGACAAATTGATAATAAACGTTTTTCCAAAGCTTCACGCACGAAATGATGCCTGAGATCGATGTTTGTCGTTAAATAACTTTGTTCTGTTTGGGGTAATGTGGACTTTATTAATCGACATAAAATTCCGTGCTTCAAAAGATCGTCGAATTCTTTGGATACATATTCAGGACCATTACCTGACTGTATGCATTTAATTTTACGGTAGTGCATATTTTGTTCTAAACCCATTAATTCTTTGGTTTTATCCAAGACTTCGCTTTTTAATTTAATAAAATATATCATGCAATATTTGGAAAAATCATCAATAAATTCGACGTAGTATTTTGATTTTCCAAGTAATTCCACCCTCAGCGGACCACATGATCAATTTAGAGTCGTCGAGCCCTTTTCTTCGGAAAAGGAGCTGTAGTCATTTTTGATTTATAACAAGTGTCGCAAGTTTCATCAAATTTTTCATTTGAATTGAAAGTTAAACCATTCATTGTGTTTTTGCGTTTACATTCATGCATATCTCTAAAATTAGATGACTACGTCATAGTGTCTGTAGAAAAATTTTGAGAGACTGCAGGGTTCGCTAAATCACAATTTTCTTGGCGAGCAAAATATAAGTCGCCTACACGATCGCCAATTAAATGAATATTGTCGCTTTTATCAAGAATTAAAACATGTTCCTTTTTCAATAAGACTTAAAAATTGTTTTTGGTAATTTTAGCTACAGACAATAAGTTTGTGCGTAGATTTGGCACATACAGTGCTTTATGTAGATTATTTAATCTACATTCACCATGAATATATGCCTTGAAAGTAGTTCCTTTAGCAGTTATTTTCGTCGACATGTTATTACATAAGTTTAGTTTTTCGCGTACAGAATCTTTAATTTCAGCAAAAATTTGCAAATCTTTAACTAAATGTGATGTCGCGCCGCTGTCAAAACACCATTTTGAGCCGTAATTCTCACTTTCTGACGTAGCGATTTTCAAAGCTTCTTCTGCCATAAACTTTGTGGTTTCCAAATATTCTGTGTCGCAATTCGCTCTAGACTGTAATTGTTTACCCTTGTTTGGACAGACAGCTTTGCGGCATGCCTTCCTGCAAACGATGGCACTGAGTGTTTCGGAAGTCGGTAACTTGTCTCGCGATTCAATCGCACAACGAAGATTTTCTAAACTTAACGACAAATTGTATAATAGCATGATAGCAAGCAAATCGGGATTAATGGGAATGTCCATTTCTTACAGCTTGTCAATAGAGTCGAAAAATTTGTCCAAATGTTCCCCCCGTGCGTTTCCATCTTCGCCAATGCGTTGCAATGTTATTTGCTTCAATAAAGTTGCCTTTCTTGCAGGACCTTTGGATTGGTAAATACCTTCCACCACCGACCTTCAATCACAGATTCAGCACATTATTGTGTAAGTTCGTCGCGAACCGTTAATAGCCTAGACGGCGATACCTTGGGACCGTAACCTGTCGGCGGATTTTAAACGGCAGTGAAATTAAATCTGAAGTTCTGGTTAAGAACTTTAATGAAAAAGAAAAGCACAGCACAGAGAATACAATTAACAAAATGGAAAGAGAATCAAAAATTACTAAGTGCAACTTGCGTAGTTGTACATATTATTATTAAATAATGATAGATAGCACTTTAGAATTGAAAGATGTTATTTAAAACATTTTCATCGAATTTGACAGGCCAATTGAGAAGTGGTCAATTGACCAGCCCCAACACTAAATTAAATAAGTTTGTGATACAATATCTGCGTTTGAACTGCCTGCCTCAATGTAGACGAACTAAAATCATCATTTCTCTTTAACTGTTTTATGTCAGCACTTCGATGTAGTTTTTCTACTCCCGTCTGTAAAATACCTAATTACACACCGATCAAGCGTGCGGGAAGCGTCACTTTACCACATCAGTTTCGTTTCCCACGGATCCCAGCCACTTCGGACATGTCCGGGATTATACCTCACAGGTTTGGGAGCAATCGGATGTTTTCGGAGATATTTCCCACGCTTTGAATTATGACGTTTGTCGATTCTGACGGTCATATCAGTGAATGTATTCGTGTTGTTTTGCGAAAATGTACCCAAAAACTAACGGTCGTAGAAAAAGTATAGTATGCAACATGTTCGGTAAACTTTTTAAGTCACTCGAGTTATGTACAATGATTTCTACGTAATAAAGATAGGACACCGTGAGATCTACGATGTCAGCATTTGGCCACGATGGTACTATGAAGAGATCGTGAGATTCACACATTGTCAGCTTTTCGGATACGAACCTATAAAGTCTTAGTTTTAAGTAAGATGATTATTCTTGTTGTAACTGCTGCTGCAGAAACTCTTAATTTTCGATTGTATTTTGAAAATAAAGTTTTTAAAAAGTCACCTCGTCTTCGCTTGAACACAATGGGCGCAGTCGGTAGGATTGTGCCCTCGGAATTCGGAAAATGAAAAAGCAGAGACAATTCGTGTGTGTACGTCGCATCGTGCGGAAAAGTGACACTTACCGAATTAGGCTACCCTAAGGAGTGGTTTCAACCGCTACAGCGCAATCCAAAGAACTTGGCGAACCCAGAGAAGACTCTCGTAGGCAGTGTGCAACAAAGGATCAGGGAAGGGAAAACCGTAAGTGCGATTTTTTCCTTTCACCCCTTTAAGATTCTCCGTTAAGGCTTTTAATAGGGATAATTTTAGCCAAGACGTATCGGACATCAAGTAGTTAGGGAAACAAATTTTTTTTAATCGATCAATTTTTGATATTAAATTGTGAATCAGAAACAAGCTGCGAATATTTCAAAGCATTAAGTAGTGACGTAGAATCTGAAATTAGTGAAATTTTCAAAAATCTAACCTTTAGTGAAAGAAAAATATCAGAAAAAATGACAGACCAAGTAAATTGGAATTTATTTAAATACCTTAAATAAGTTTATCAACAATCAATCAATCAATCAATTCGGAATTAAATAAACATATTTTTGAATGTATCCAGGAAAAACTGGGAGGCAGAGCCGCAGTTCTAGTAGGTAATCGCACAGAAATTAGTGATTGGAAAGCATTGAAAGATGCATTGACTCAATGTTTTTCCGATCGCCGAGATCTGAATTGTTTAATCCACGAATTAGTTAGGACTAGGCCCAATAAAAACGAACACTTGATAAATTTTGGAAGTAGACTTCAATTATTAAGGAGCGACATTGCACAGCGTATAAGTAACGAGTCTAAATATACACCGGAAGAAAAGCTTTAATATATGAAACATTATGATCAAACCGCAATAAATACATTTATCGCAGGGTGCACAGGCGTCTTAAAAAACAATATGCATTTAAAAACACCGCAAAGTCTCGAAGACGCCATGGCATATGTAAATGAATTCGAAAATTTTGAAAGATTGTATGGGACTCTGAACGAGCCTTATAAACCTCAAAAACCGAACTTCCAAAATTTAAACAATACACCGACAAATCAACATCTTCAAAATTTTTATCAAACACCGTTTAGCAATAATGCGTTTGTACCACCCAATCTCGCTCAATTTCCAAATCAGCAATTTAGTAACCCCGCACAATTTGGTAACTTAACGCGATTCGGTCAACAACCTTTTAACCAAAATTGCTTTAAGCCCCCACAAAAAATGTTTCCAACTGGCCCAGTTGACGTAAGGCCCAGACAACTACCCCCTCAAAAATACTTTACCAACGGTCAAGTTTTCGGTAAACCAAAAAATCTATTTAAGCCCGGAGAAACAAACCCACGCAATTTGCCCAAACCTGAACCTATGTCGACAACGTCTAGGACACCTTCCATAAGACGAGACCAATATCGAAACCAAAACGACTATTTCCGATCGTACCCAAACACGC